CTTAGAGATAAACAGCGTGTTATATATACATCTCCAATCAAAGCTTTAAGTAATCAAAAGTATCGTGAATTGGCTGAGGAATTTGAGGATGTTGGATTGGTTTGTTTTTTTTATAAATTTCAAAATTGATTTTTGTTTAGATGACTGGGGATGTAACATTAAATCCAAATGCTTCTTGTATTGTTATGACAACAGAAATTTTACGATCAATGCTTTATAGAGGTTCTGAAATTACTCGCGAAATTGGATGGGTAATTTTTGATGAAATTCATTATATGCGTGATAAAGGTTTTTAAATTAATTATTTTAGTTTATTTTATTCTTATTTCATAGAACGTGGAGTTGTCTGGGAAGAGACTTTAATTTTAATGCAAGACACCACTCATTTTGTTTTTCTTTCTGCAACAATACCTAATGCTAAGGAATTTGCAAGTTTGTTATTTTAAATTATGCACTAACTGTTAGCATTAAAGAAGTGTCTAAATTTCAATTAAATTAATTTTTACTTTTAAAAAATTTAGAGTGGATTTGTTATCTTCATCATCAACCTTGTCATGTTGTTTACACGGATACTCGACCTGTTCCTCTTCAACATTTAATTTTTCCATGTGGTGCAGATGGCTTATATGAAGTTGTTGATATAAAAGTATTTTTATTCGAAAATTATTTAAATTTAATTTTCGTTTAGGGAAATTTCAAACAAGATAATTTTCAAAAAGCTATGAATTTTCTCGTTGATTCACAACCACTTGGTGATAATGTCGATAATGCTACGGGTCCACCAAGACGTAGTATTGCCGGTGGTGGAGGTGATCCACTCAACAAAAGCGTTTTGAAGATTATTAGAACAATTCATGAACGTGATATGCTTCCTTGCATTATATTCTCATTTAGTCGAAAAGAATGTGAAATGTATGCAACAAAAGTTAAACAAATGGATTTTAATTCTGGTTAATATTTTTGAAATGTTTTTTATAATTTTAATTTTTAGAAGAAGAAAAGCGTGCTGTTAGTCTTATTTTTGACAATGCTATTGATTTACTTGCTGATGAAGACAAAAAGTTGCCTCAAATTAAAAATGTTCTGCCCTATTTGTTAAGAGGAATTGGTATTCACCATTCTGGTCAATTACCTATAATGAAAGAAATTGTTGAAATTTTGTTTGGTGAAGGACTTATTAAGGTTCTTTGTAATTATTTTTGAATAATTTTTAATTCAATTTAGACCCTTTTTGCAACTGAAACTTTTGCTATGGGTGTTAATATGCCAGCAAAAACTGTACTTTTCACTTCTGCACGCAAATTTGATGGAACAGTAAATCGTTGGATAAGCGGTGGTGAATATATTCAAATGAGTGGGCGAGCAGGACGACGTGGCAAAGACGATCGTGGCTTGGTCATTCTTATGTTGGATACACAAATGAGTGCTGATCAGGCTATGCATTTGCTTAAGGTTTGTTTCTTCACATTTGCTGTGTTTAAATTTTAATTAATTTCAAAATTTAAACACTTAATTTGAAATTTCTTGATTGTTTGAGCTGTATCGCTCTTTAAGTTGGGTTTTCTTATGTAGTTTTGCCATTCTTTTCAAATTTTTCTGAGTAAATTTATTCTTGATATACATATTAGAGCGTTTCCAAATTAATAATTTCTCTTACAATTAGTCTGCTAATAATAATTGAAATTAAATACAGGGTAACAGCGATCCGCTTAATTCACAATTTCGTCTAACTTACAATATGGTACTTAATTTGTTCCGTGTTCCTGAAATCAATCCACAATATATGTTGGAGAAGTCTTTTTATCAATTCCAGAATTATGCTGCTATACCGAATCTCAGACAAGGTTTTTAGTTATATTCTTTTGTCAAATATTTTTTATCAATCCATTAGCAATGCGCGAGAAACATGCTTTACTTATGGATGCTCGTGTCAGTCATGAAATGGAAATTGAGGCTTATTATAATATTGAAAAGCGTATTCAACAATTACAACAGTCAATTAAATCTAAAATTTTGAAGCCTTCTAAAGTTGTGCCGTTTTTCCAGCCTGGACGTTTACTAAAGGTTTTGAATATTCTAAGAGATTAAATAGTCACTTATTTAAATTTATTTAAATTTTAGATGAAACATTTTGACAAAGATTATGATTGGACAGTTTTGATAAATTGGCGCAAAACACCAAATCCTTTGGATCCTACCTCACCGGAACTTATATATATTGTTGAGGTATTTACATTTATATATCTAGTCAATTAAATAATACAATTTAAATTGCTTATTCTTGAATGTTTTTCTCTTTTATAGGTAGCTGTTCTAGTGAGTAAAGAAAGTGAGCGACATTTGCCCAATCTCGCCCTTCTTAAGCCGCCAGATTTGCGTGAACAAGGGGTCATCTGCGTTATACCTTTTACTTTTGAATGTATATCTGCAATAAGTACGATTAGATTGAAAGTTCCACAAGAATTGAAAAGCAAGGAAGCACGAGATGCATTAGCAATTACTTTAGCGGTAAGGGACTCTTTATTTTAAATTGCTTTCCTTTTTTTCATTTTTTTAAAATTTCTCGTTTATGTTTAATATTATCTAAAAATATATGAGTAAAGGAAAAAAGGCCAATCTTTTCGTATTGGTAGTCTAGATTTTTGATATTTTTGGCATATGACATATAAATTTAGTAAAAACTTGCAACTCAGACAGGTCTTGACCCATTCAATGGGTTTGGACTTCATTAAGTTGCAAAAGTAAAAACTGGTATTTTTGATGGTTACTATTAATTTTATGATTAATAAAAAAAATACCGAACAAATAAATTTTTTTTTCTGTATATCACCCAAAATTTTCCATGATAATACTAAAAGTTCAATTTATTTAGGAAACCAAAAAACGCTTTAGCAATTTAATCCCCGAACTTGATCCAATCGAACATATGGGAATATCTGATCCACAAGTAAAGAAGGAAATTGAATTGTTGTTTACTCATGAACAGAGATACAAGGATCATCCTTTAAAGGTTTTTTAATGTTTTTACCTTAAATGTCCCTTTACCATTTCCACACAAATATTAGTCAAATTTTTTTTATTTAAAAGTGGAAATCTTATGATCTTGATTTTATTATTATTCTTTTATATTTATTTTACGTTACTATTATTTAGGGACGTCCAGATTTTGATCAAATTTACAGTGCATATATGAGGAAATTAAAATTAGAAGAGGAATATAAAGAAGCAAAAAATAAATCTGAAAATAGTCGAAAGTTGTTACAAATGGATGAATTACAATGCAGAAAACGTGTGCTTAGACGTCTTGGTTATGCTAATGAAGAAGATACAATTACCGATAAAGTTTGCGAATTTTTGCTTTTTTCCCTATGTTTTAAATTTAGGGCCGTGTTGCTTGCGAATTAAGTTCAGCTGATGAATTATTATTGACAGAAATGTTATTTACTGGGGCATTTGCTTCAATGGAGGCTGAAGAAGCTGCTGCTTTGCTTACCTGTTTTGTATTTGAAGAGAAAGCCCCAACATTAAGATTACCAGAAAATCTCAGCAGTGCTTTGAGGAATTTACAAGTATTTTTTCTTAATTTATTAAATAATTTATTAATTTTAATTTTTAGAGTAATGCAAAGAAAATTGCAAAAGTTTGTATTGAATCAAAGCTTGAATTGGATGAAGAAAAATATGTTGAACAGTTTAGCCCTGGAATGATGGATGTTGTTTATAATTGGTGTTTGGGCTCTTCTTTTGCACAAATTATGGAAAATACACAACTTTTTGAAGGTAAATATTTTTTATAAGCCTGAAATGTTTTCAAATAATCAAAATAAAAATTATTTGAAAATAGTTTGGAATATTATCTTTTGAGTATTTCTTAATACTTTTAAATAAAGTATCGAGAAAGTCGACATTTATTGAGGAATTTACTGCGATACTTATGATTAAAAAATGCCATAAATTCAAAAATATGTATATTTTTAGGAAGTATTATTCGTTGTATGCGTCGTTTAGACGAACTTTTACATGAAATGATTGGTGCTTCTAGATCGTTACAAGATGACTCTCTTGTTGAAAAGTTTGAGAAGGCTAGAAATTTGTTGAAACGTGATATTGTTTTTTCTGCATCTTTATATCTTTAAGGTGGACTATTTGGTAATTATAATACTATTTATATTTTGTTCCTCATTTATTTTTTGTTTTCATAAAAATTTGTCTAATTTTATCTCATTTATAATATAAATTGTCTGACAATTAAGAAATATTTTAAATTAATTTGGAATTCCCAACGTCCCTCCAGTTGTTGTTGCTGCCCATTGTCTTTGATCCTTAGCATTATCCTCCCGGATTTTTTCAAAAATATGTGGCCAATCTACCTCTACTTGAGATAAATATTTTAAAAATTTTGAATTTGTTTCTGAATGGCCCAAGAGGTCCAAATAACGTTGACGATATCCAATAACTGTATCGAGATGTTCTTAATTTTTGGATATACAATTAAAGCAATTTTTACAAATATCACCTTTATTTCCATTGTTTTGTCTTTCTGAAGAATTTAAAGCCAGTTCCAATGCTCTAAATATTTCTTTATTTAAAACAAAGGAAAATCAAGAAACCTTTCAAATCTAAAAACACTTAAATTTAACATAATTGCGCGAAAGAAATGCCCAGATTTAAGTAATGCTGACTCAGCTTCCCGTAATCGACCACCAAATAAAGCTATTTGGAAAGACCGTAAATGAGGGTTTGGTTGAGAACGTAGTTCAGCCAAGGAAAGTAATTTTTCTGCCTTTAAAGAATATTTAAATTGTCAATTTAAAATTAACTTTCGGAATGAGAGATAGGTTCGAGAAAAGTAATCTCGATTATTGAGATAAAAATTTTTCGATTTCGAATCTCGATCTCCTCATAAATAAGGAGATTCTTTGAGTTATTTTTATTATATGTTTTTAATACATGGAACTAAAATTAGTTTATTTTTCCAAAAATATTTAAGTAAACCCCTCTTTAATTAATTTTTCTTTTACTACAAACTTCTTTTAATTGTCCATAACATATTTCTGCAATTGTAAATGACTTTTCTCCTAGTGCTAATCCAGCTAATGTTGCCCAAAGAAATTCCTCCTTTAAAAATATTTTTTCTAATTAAAATCAAAGTAAATTACTTTAGCAGAATTACAAATCCTCAAAGCTTTTTCCCATTGATGGTGTTGAGTGGAATTAATTCTTTTTTAAAAATATTTTTTTATTTAATAATTATTTTAAAAAATACAAAGCTGTAATAAGTGGAGGAATATAATAAATAAATAAACTTCCATCTGCCCTTCTAATTGTTATTATATTTCCAATAAAACTAAATTTACAAAAAAATTATTTTTTTCGTCTTATTAAAATTTACCTTAAAATAATAGATCCTTTAGTTAATTCAGAATTATCGCCTAATTCTAATTTCGATAATGTCAACAAATCTTTATCCACAAATTGTAATGTAGGCAAACAAACATAAAAATAAGGAATAAATTTTTGAGAATAAATTTAAACTAACAAGAAGTTTTTGATTATCTTGTAATGCTGCCATCATATTTGTGGAATTATTGGGTGTTAAGCAAGATAATAGAGAACCTTTTAAATAATTTTAAGAAATATTAATGGAAGAATTTAACATTTATCAGGATGGAAATTTAGCTAGTCAATTAATAATTATAGGTATTAGATATCGGCCTGGTCTGGACCAAAGCCTGGGTTGTTCCTGTACCCAGAGTCCAGGCCCAGACATTTTTCGACCTTCCTGGGTTTTTCCTGAACTATAGGCCCAGGCTTTTCAAAAATATAGATCTCTAATAGGTAATTAATAAATCTTAATAATTTTCAAAGTATTTTCCACCCACCAATTTTCTGAATTCTTTCAGGTGCTCCATAACGATTTACTAAAGCAATAAAGCAATCTCCATTTATATCCAAAAATATTATCCTTCTATCAACAATACCTCCACATTGATTAACACATAATTCAACAATATTTGACTTAAAAAATATTTTTTAATAAAATATTAAAATATTCTCAAAACTAAATGTTTAATTTCCCCATCACCCGCAACTCTTCCATTTTGAGGGTCAAATAAATGAATTAATGAATGTTGGGTTTTATCTCTCAAAACAACTAAATCATTAGCTATAGATGCTGTTTGTTCATTAAATGGTTCTCCAAAAGAAGAAATTTTTATATTACAAATTGATTTGCCTTCATAATTTAAAACTTGTACAGATGAAGAATCAACAAGTAAAAAACATCTTTTTATTTAAAAGAAAAGAGGAAATTAAATCAGAAAAATTAAATACTATATTTTATTATTTTTGACTGATAAAATTAACAGAAAGGGACAAACTTTGTCGGCTGACTATATAGAAACATACAATGAATTTTTGAAAAATGGGGTGGGGACTTATAATTTTGTTGATCAGTGTATATTTCCCTTTTAACTGAAAAGTCTCTGTATTCAAACAAAAGCTACGTCTCAATTTTCCCTATTTCTTTTAAAAATTTACTTTTCGCATAAACGAATCAAGGAAACTAATCCAGAACCTTCACGAAGATCATTAACAATTGGAGTATTCCAATTTTTAGCACTAAAATTATAAAATACCTTTGTATAATTTAAATAAAAATACCTAAAAATATATAATTGTTTAGATGTAGCAACAATCAAATAATTAAATCCAATTTCCATTTTTATAATTCTGTCTTTTGTTTCTAAACGTTCTCGAACAACTTCTGAACTTAAATCACGAATGTTTATTGTTCTTCTATTTATTTGTATAGCCTCAAGTTGTTCCCAAATTAAACGTCTATAATTTACTTAAGTATTAAATAAATTATTTTAAATCTTCAATATTATTTTATTGTTCTTCCATCTCTAAAATAAACTTTGGTAGTCCAGGAATATTCTAGGAATTTTTGGTAACGAAATTCAGAATAATTTAAGTACTACGTAATAAAAACAAAACGGGGCATCCCAACAATTGTTTCTTTGATTTTCCTTATTTTTAATTCAAAACAGAATCTTTTTTATTTTTACTTTTCAACAATATGTGCATGTAATAATTGTCCACTAGCAGTACCTCCAATTAACTTAAAATCGAGAAGGAAATTTAAAATAAAATTTTTTCTTCACTAATTAACTTGTAAACAATCAGGTGACCAACTCAAACAATTAATTGATCCACAATTAGGCCTTTCCATTGAATGAGACCACTTTAGAAATTAAAAACAACAAAATTAAATAATTTATATAAATAAACACCCCAGATTTATCACAAAGTCTCAATAAATTAAAGGATCCAACAGCAAACATTGTTCCATTATGACTCCAAGCTACAGAGGATATTGGGAAAGCATAAGCAGCAGATGACCATAAAGGGCGGCCTAAAAAGGAAATTTTGAAGTATTTTTATAAAAGAGTGGAATTTTTTGGTTACCTTGTCCATTCCATAGCCTATAGCGACAATCCTCTCCGCCGGTCAGAATCTTTAAATAAAGGAAAAACATTAATTTAAAACATGAAAGCTTCAAACACCTGATCATTAACAGCACTCCAACTTAAACAAGTAACAAGTCCGGTATGTGCTCTCCATTTGATGGGTGAACTCTAATAATTATTATGAAGAGATATTAGGAATACATGACCCCTCATATAAGTAATTAATCCACCTCCTAACAAGGATTGTTAAAATAACTGGGAGTGAGAGAATTATTTTTAGTGTTACCATTAATAAATCCTAATTTATAAAAAGTCCTAAAACCTCTAATTTAAAAATTAATTTTCTCCCAATTAAAAATATCTACATACTTACCTGTACATTCAATTGTTTAATAAAACATTCATCTCCAGCACAATATACCAATTTACTACAATCTCCATTCCAATCAAGGGAATATATAGGTTTTCCAATTTGTGCAAGAACAGAACGAAGCATTCCATTTTTAGACCAAATTTTTACACAACCATCTTCTCCACCTAATTTAAATAATTATTTAAATTTAAATAAATAAACTTACAACTTGCAAACCCCCCAGCACCCCCAGGCTCTGAATTATTCCAACGGGCCATAATTGTAGCTCCATGATGGGCATCAACTATTTTTTCTAATTTTCCATTTAAATTTAATAAATAAATTTTTCCTTAATTAAAAATTAAAAAAATATTTTTAAAAAATTAATTTAATTAACCATCAGAAGTTGTAACCAAAAATATTTCAGAAAAATTTTTTGAAGTTGATATTTTTGTGTTTGATGATTTTAAAGCAGGGCTCCGATCGACAAAATGCCACTCAAAAGTATCAAAATCTTGTAAAAAAAGTACATAGGGAGAAAATTTACAAATAAAAAGTACACTCAAAATTAAATTTGAAAATATTTATTCGTGATCAGATCTTTTATATTTCTCTCTTAAATTAATCTTTTCTAATAATTTCTTGTTTCAACTGAGCATTTTGTTGACATGTCAAAATTTGCTGTCACATGAAGCAAAGCTCTGACAGTCTTAACCTCAAGCGAGTTTCTCCATTGAATGTTTGCCATTGAGAAGCGCCGCAGGCGAAAATTTTTTGAAATTTGGAGCCTAAGAAGCCAGATTTCTTCTTTTTCAGCGCCGCAGGCGAAAATTTTAAGAATTTTGGAGGTCCTTAAGCCAGATTTCTTCCATTTTTTGCGCCGCAGGCGAAAATTTTGAGAATTTTGGAGGTCCTTAAGCCAGATTTCTTCGTTTTTTCAAAAATGTTGATAAAAAAGTACATACTTTCAAAAAAGTACAAATTCAATTTCGGAAGTACGAAGGTCGATAAAAAAGTACAATACTTTTAAAAAAGTACGAATCGGAGCCCTGTTTTAAAGGATTGTTTGTTTGTTTAGAGGTTGTTTCACGTAAAGAATGATTAGATAATTGAAGAGAAGTTGGAAAAATTTTTCTTAATTTATTTTTTGATTATATAAATATTTAGGAGTAAAATTAAGAATTAGAAAAGAGCTCAGATAAGGAATTTTTCTAAATCGGATCGTTAACTAAATGTAAGAATAAATTTTTATTAAGTCATGTTCGGGTTTAATCACCACAATAATTTCTTCCTATGATAATCCTAAATAATATTTTTAAGGGGCAATCTCTTACGATAAAATTCAAAATCACTCAACTCTTTAACATTAACTATAGACAAATCCATTGATTCCATTTTGTCCATAATCCATAGTTTAATTAAATGGTCATCTGATATAGTTATGCCCTCATCTGTATTTAACCAATCAACACCATTTACAGCTTCTGTGTGTGAAGATAAAGTTGGGGATAATTTAATACGAAGACGCATTTCTATTAAAAATTAAGAAATAAAGAGAAAATATATTAGCATAAATTTTTAAAAATTGTTGTCATGGCAATAAATAATTTGTAAAAATTAGGTTTAATATTTTTAAAAACAAAAAAGAATGGAAATTAATTTTATTTTTTTAATAATATTAGGATCAAAAAAAGTAGAAGGTTAAAAGTAAAGATGAATTTTTTGTCCTGAAAATTATTTCAAAAAGTTAAATGGGGAATTGAGGTAAAGAATAAATATTTGATAATGATTATTGCTTTTGAAATAACAATAGTTATGTTGAATTTTGGATAAATTTTGAAAATCAAGAAATATACGAAACAAAGAGATGCAAAATTTGGTTCGGAAACTACTAATAGCAATCGCCTTCCAAAATTAATAAAATTTTCACCTGCGGCGCAACTGGAATAGTATCATCACATGGCGTTGCCTCCCAGAACTATAGTAAAAATTTTGTTCTGGATCTGGATATCTGGAGAGTTCCCAGGATTCGCTAACCATATTTTTATCAAATTATTTGTAATCAAATTTTTTTCAAATAATTTGGATTTAGAATTTGATGGTTGATTTGGCGAAGATCAAATATTTTTTTAATTGAAATTACTTGAATTTGAATTCGTTGCCTACTAGAAAATTATTTATTCCCTCTCAACATTTTCCCATTTTATATTTTAAATAAATTTTTAAAATATTCCCTTAAGTATATTCTCATGATAATCTTTTCTTGTTTTGGATAATTAATTAAAGTTTTTAAAACTTTTAATATTCCCCGCCTATTTTGAAATAGTATAAAATTAAAATATTTTTTTCTTATTAATTCCTTTAGAATTTATGTAATTAATCAAATAATTATGTCTTAAATTTTTTAATTTATGTCTAATAATGTCTTTTTAATTTTTTAATTTAAATATTTAGATATACATATATATTTAGATATACATATATGTAAATTAAAAAATTATCTTAATAATTTTTAAATTTCATTTTTTTAGATTTTTTTAAAATTAAATTTTGTGTTCAACAATGTCAGAGAAAGAATCTTCAATTTCTGATTTTGAATTAATTGTATTAATATTAAATATTAAAAATAATAATTTTAAATTAATTTTCAGCAAAACGATGATGCTACAGAAATTGAAAATGATTTAAATAATCTTCAAATTGAGCATGAAGAATTAAAAAATAAATATGTTTTGCTTGAAGAGAAGTATTTGTCTCTTGAAAATAAAGTTAAAATTGTAAGATTTATTATCCAAAGTCATTCCTTAAGTTTTCCCGAAATTTTAAAAATTAATCACAGAAATACAAAAATCATAAAATAATCCTGAACCCCCCCCCCCCAATATACATAATTATTTATACCATTCAGATGAATGAAATAGGCCTTAAAAGTAAAAGTGAAAGTGAAGATAGAATGAAAACTTTAAGGGAATTAGTGATTGAGGTAGGTTATCAATGAAGGATTGGATTTAAATTTTTTATTTTCTTCTTTAAACAATTCTTTAATTAAAGTCAACCCCGTTATATTTATATAAGCGTTCATCGAACAATATTTTAATGAGATATGTTAGTCGGGATCTGATAATGAAGGGGGCGCTTATAACTAATATATAACTGGGCTTGGCTGTATAATTTTATTTATAGAAGATTATTTTGTCGGAGAACAAGATTGGAGAATCAACTTATGAATTTGAAAAATTAAATTGTAAAAAAGTGGTTGGTTTAATTAATTAAAGGGAGAGAACATATTTAAATATTTTAACAGTGTTTTGTTCAAAATAAAAATAAATTTAAATATATTGCCTTTGATTGGTTTGATGTGAATTGTACATGTTGCCAATATATTTGTATAAATACACACAGACCATGTGGAGCTTGTATTAATGGGAATGGATTTGTTAATTTAATTAATGATGGAAATATTAAATATTTTAAAGGGATAGGTATTAAACGATTTTAGTAAATGTTACTTTTAAATATTTATTTTAGTTAATAAAACAGCTTGTATAACTGCTCAAAATTCATTTAATAAACCAAAAGAATATTTAACAAATTATTCTTTATTTTATTTTGAAATTAAATGTAAAATTGAAGGAGAAAATAATTTTCTGGTTGTTGGCCTACAAAATGCTCTTACAAAAAGCAGTACTAGATATAATGCTAGGGAAGTTAAAATTAAAAATGGATTTCAAGAATTTAATCTTTCAACATTTTCTTGGAATGATGGAGATATTTTTGGTTGTGGATTAGTATATCCACCTAAAAAGAATAGATTACCCTATGTTTTCTTTACTCAAAATGGAAAAATAATTGGTAAATAATTAAAAATTAAAAGAATTATTTAAATATTTTTTAATTAAAGGCAAAGCAATATTATTAAATGAAAATGGTAATTCGTATATACCTTATGTCCATCTTCAATGTTGTTCTCTCGAAATTAACTTTGGAAATGATTTGAAAACAAAACCTTTTTGTTATGATATTTCGAACAATTCTGTGCTTAAAGAATTTTATTGAAATTTTGTTTTTAATTAAAATTTTGGTGTAGAAATCGAGTGATTTGTGAAATTTGAAACATAAAACATTTACTCGATATTTAATTTTATTTTGATTAATTTATAAAGATAATTTTCATTTTTTTAAATGTTGCTTTCGAATAAAATTTTTTTAAAAATATATTTGTTTTTAATTTCTCTTAACATGTTTTCTGAACAAATTTTTAAAAAGCAGCAAACCTCCACTTTGTTTCTTGTTTAAATTTATTTCCTTTAGACAATAATTATTAACAGTAAATTATTCAAAACATTAAATAGTTCGTCTTATTAATTATTAGCTTAAAGCAAAAATGTCTGGGAAAAATATTTTATGGTCTAATTTATAGTCCGTCTCAACATTCCAAAACATTCTTAGGTTAAATTATTTGTAGAAAAAATTATATAGGTTAACATATGTTCTATTTACTTTTTTTTTTAAATTATAAACTGTTATTGGTAAATTAATTTTTAGATTTTAAATAATTAAAACATTCTTCAAAATGACGGAAAACGTTTCTTCGGATTTTGAATTAATTGTAATAATTAAATTATTTAAATTAAAAATTTTCTTAATTTTCAGCAAATTGATGATGCTATGGAAGTTGAAAATAATTGTAACAATATTCAGATGGATGAAGTTAAAAATAAAAATAATTTAGTAGGTTTTTGTATTTAAAATTAATTTTTAAGTTTATTTTTTAAATGAAATCTTTGAAATAAAATAAAAACTTTAATTTTATTATCTGAAGATATTCTTTAAATTTCCAGTAGGTAATTAAGTTCATCAGGGATCCTGCCGACATAAAAAAATAAATCCGCGATTTCGAAAATTGGGAATTTCCGACCCAAAAAAACGTTGGAAATTCACGATTTTCGGGAATATTTTATTTAATTCGAATTAAATTGATTGCCCTTTCTTTTGAAATATTAATATTTTAATTAAAAATAATATTTTTTAGTTTTATGTACAAATTAGAAATAAATGGAAGGATATTGAAGATGATTTTAGATGTTGTAACAATAGATGTATAAATACAAAAAAACCTTTTGGTGTTTGTATTAAAGGGAATGGATATATTAATTTAATTAATAAGGAAATAATTAAATATTATAATTGTTTAGAAGGGAAAGGTAATAAAATAAAGAGAATTAAAATAAAGAGAAAAATTATTTGTTAGGAATGAATGATCTTGCCTTTGTTACTGCTAAATATAAATTCTATAAAACAGAAGATTTCATTAATTATTCCTTATTTTATTTTGAAATTAAAATTGGAGAAGGGATTTCTGATGAAAATGATGTAGATTTTGGTATTCAAAACAGAGGTAGAACAGATAAAAATTTAAATTTTATTTTACAATGGAACCTCAATAAAACGTTTCTCAATCGAATGTTAATTCCATTTAGTTTAAGTTTTAATTTTTAAAATCACTAAAACATTTTAAATTTTAGATTTATCTAAATTTAATTTTATAACAGATCCACCTGACGATCTCAAATGCAAATATGAAATTGGATTTAATATATTTGGTGAATATATTTTTTATAGAATGAAACCTAATGATAAAAAATTTAAAATTGAGAATTTTTCCTGGAATAATGGAGACATTTTTGGCTGTGGATTAATTTATCCACCAACCAAAATTAATGAATTTCCTTATATATTTTTTACACAAAATGGACAGATAATTGGTAGTAAATAAAATTTAAAGTTTAAAAATTATTTTTTTTTATTTTAAGGTAAAGCTATATTATTAAAAGACAATTTTGATTGTTTCCATCCATATATTGGATTAGCTAATTGTTGTTTGGTAGAAGCTAATTTTGGGAATGATTTGGGAAATAAACCTTTTATTTATAATTTTAAAAAGCATCCTGTACTAAAGGAATTTTATGAAGATTAAGCTAAAAAGAAAATAAATTTGTTTTAAAATATTTTGGTACTTTCGTTCATCTCTCTTTATATAGTAAATCTCCTCTTTATGAAAGGAGATTTATTTTATCGTTTCTTTTTCGTAAAATTTATTTTTAGATCAAAAAATTTTAAAATATTAAATTATTTAAGACTTTCTCACAATTGTTTAATATTTACTTTCACCAATCCATTTCCATTTTTAATCTTTATGAGAGGTAATTCTGCCTCATTCTACCGACTATGTAGAATTAAAAATTTCTTAAATTTATTATTTAAAAATAGCTCTGATAATGTAAAATTTTTTTTCTTCGTTTTTGGGGAATGCTGGGGAAATAAACATAAAATATGTAGTGTGTACTTTTATAAATGACCAATGTGTTTTTACAATTTCCATCAATATATGTACTATTTATTGGCTTGTCTAACTCCATACACTACCTAGTATATTTTTAGATTTCTCTATTTATAAGGATAAGTTGAATTGCACCCATTCGCCGAATTTTTTCGCTACTTTCATCCCTCGTCTACTTACTACATAAAAATAAAAAAACTAGTCAATAACCGTCGAGATTTCACTCGGATTTTTGCGGGATCTAGCTCCCGCTTTTCATTTGAGGGATTAATCCCGCGGAAATTACACCACAAACTTTTATACTTCCGTTTGCATAAATGCGGGTTTAACCGACAGGAGTTGATCAAGATAAAAAAGATTAAAATTAGGTAAATTTCTAATAAATTTTTCACATAAAATTTTCAATAATTGGCTGTTTTTTGTGTTTTTAAATAGGTACCCAGTTTTTATTTTTAAAATTTAATTTTGAATTATTTAAAGAATTATTTACAAATAATTAAATGTTTTAATTAAATATTTTTTAGATTTTAAAAAAAAATAAATTTCTGCACTAATGACTGAGAACATTTCTTCGGATTTTGAATTAATTGTAATAAAAATTATTTTAATTAAAAAATAATAGTTTTTAGCAAATTAACGATGTTATGGAACTTGAAAATAATTCAAAAAATATTCAAATAAATGAAGAAGTAAAGGACAATAAAGATGATTTAGTTGAAAATAATTCTTTGGAGAATAAAAAAGAAAATGTAATTATTAAATAATTAATTTTTAAATTTAAAAATAATTTAAGAAAAATTCATATGATACAACATTAGCAGAATATTATCTTTATGGTGAACTTGTAAAAGGGAGATTACCGGGTATCCCTTTTTTAGCCACACTCTTTTTTCCATAACTGAAATAGATAAAAATAAGATTTTTGATTAAAATTTAATTTTTAAGCTGATAACATTAAAAAAATTAATCTTTTCTTTGTTAATCATAGAAAACAAGTTACAGGGAAATTGAGGGAAGAAAATAAGACTGACCTTTCTGTACATATTAATGTTGATTGATGATGGAAAAGGACGTGGCTAAAAAAGGGGATATCCAACCAATATAATTTTTTAGCAAGAATTGAAAACTTTGAAGAAACTGATAATTCAGAGGCAATTATTGAGAAAAAAGATGAAAAAATTATATTTTAGAAAATCAAATTATACAGGTGAATATTTAAATTAAAAAATACTCATTTTGCGTGTATGAATAGAAAGCGTTAATTACACAATTTAAATTAACTTCTGCAAAAAAAACAATTTTAAACAATTTTTGGAATTTTTGAAAAAAAATATATATTTTAATTTTCTAATATTTAATAAATTTAAAAGATGAATGCTTCTTTTGATAAAAAGTTGGAAGAAGTAATGAATCAATTAAAACAATTAAATGATAAAAAATGTAAAAAAGCGGTTGGAGATTTATTTAATTTAATTTAAAAATAATTTAAATTAAAAGAATTTTGTTTTAATAAAAAATAAATGGAAAGTTATTGATAAAGTTTGGAAATGTTGTGAAAATAATTGTGTAAATACAGACAATCCTAGAAGTATTTGTATTGAAGGAAATGGATATATTAATATAATTGATGATGAAAATATTTATTATATTAATTGTGAGGAGGGGAAAGGTAAATTGGGGGGTTTTTTGGAATTTTATTAAATTAATGGTTAATTTTGTAAAAATTATGAGATTATGCCATTAAATTAATTAATTTTAGCTTTCATTTTTCTTTTAAATTAGTTTAAAATTAACCAAGAGGTTTTATAATTTAAAAACTTCATAAACCCCAACTAAAATAACCCCTAAAATAGAGTTGGAAGATACAGCTGGTTTTAACCTCAAACATTTTTGAAACTGGCAAAAAAATTGAATTTAAACGCCCCAAGACAAAACCTTCGTTTGGCTAAAGCTCGCAACCAAAAACGGGGTTTTAAATTTTGGATTAACCGAAAACCGTGGGTTTTAGTTAATAATTTATCGCCAACGTTTATAATTTAAATAATTAATTTTAGGTGTAAATAAATATTTTCGTGTTTGTGTTGAAAATTCATTTACTAAACCAAAAGAATATTCAAACAATTATTCTTTATTTTATTTTGAAATTAAATGTATAAAAATTGAAACAACTGAAAATAAAAGAAATTGGCTAGTTATTGGCTTAAGTTATAATAATTATTATATTCGATTACTTGCAAAATGTGCTTTATTTAAAAATGAAAAAAATGAACAAATTGAATTAGACGGCAATTTTAAATGGAATAATGTTGATGTTTTTGGTTGTGGATTGGTATATCCACCAAGTTATAAAATAAATAAATTTCCGTATATATTCTTTACACAAAATGGACAAATAATTGGTAAATAATTAATTAAATAATTATTTATTTATTTTTAAAAAAAGGTAAAGAAATATTTCCAAAATATAAATGTGATTCATTCAATCCATATATTATTGTTGATAATTGTTTAATTGAAGCCAATTTTGGAAATGATTTGGAGAATAAACCTTTTATTTATGATGTTAAAAAACATGTTGTTTTTTAAATTATTTTGTTGGAATAATTGGGTAAATAAATTAATTTTAATTATTTTTTTATCTGAATTTTAAAGAATAAATTAACAAAAAAAAGAAATGAATTGAAGGAATAATTATTTAAAGTTTTTGACCTCAAAATAAAATAAATTTGAAATTAATTTCAAAACAATCAAGTGTTTTTAACTATTTTTAATTTTTTTTTCATTTTTGAATAAAGTTTACAAATTTAAATATTTCTACAAAATTTCTACAATTTTATAATTAGTCCACATAATCGAATAGAATTTTTGAATTAGAGTGTTTCACCAATCCATCTCTATTTCTAGCTTTAAGCAAATTAGTCTGGGAAAATAAAACTTTATGAAGACAAACAACACTACTCAGAATGTGCAGTAGGGGAGGGGAATTTGCTCCATCTAAATATTTAAAAGTTGACCTACGTACATATTTTTTACTTCGTTCATTCATTTTAAATAAATAATTTATTAATAAATTATGTGGTACATATTAAACAATTTACTTTAATAAAAAGTTAAAATGTTTTAAGAAATTTACAAAATAAAATTTAAAACGAATTCATCTAAATTCGCGTTATTAATATAAATTTAATTGTTTTATTATTTTTATAAAATTTTGGCAAGCCAGTAAAATTTAAAAAACAATTTTTCTAGATCTTAAGATAATTTTAAAAATGACTAATGCTGACATTTCTTCAGATTCGGATTTTGAATTAATTGTAAAAATTAAATCATTTAAATTAAAATCCTTTTAAATTATTTTTCAGCAAAACGATGATGTTATAAATCTTCAAAAGAATTTTAATAATCTTCAAGTTGCCTTTAGTGAAATGAAAAATAATAATGCTTTAATTAAAAATTCTTTTGAGAATGAAATAAAAATGGTGGGGGTATTTGAATTAAATTAAATTAATTTAATTTAAATTTTGTAAAATATAATTGAGACATGATAGATTTGAGAATTTTATTTCCACATGATGGAATAAAATTTTAGGATTTGGGTGGCACAGATTGGATTTTGGATTTTAAGGAAAATAATTTATCGTATTTTCTCAAAAAGTGCTACCGGCTGACTATTTTTAAACCCTCCTCTAAAGAGCAGTGAAAGGGGGGGGGGCACTATTTGAGAGAATACGGTATTTCGTATTTTTTAGAAATAATTTTATAAAATTTCAGTTATTACAAAATTTCAACTCTAAAAACGAAGATAAAATTGAAGAAATAAAACAAACATTTAAACAAATGTTTGGGGAATTAATGAGTGAAAATAATAAACAATTTAATGAATTAAAAGAAATTATTTGTAAAAAAGAGGAAAAAAGTGTTAGTTTGGGAAATGATTTTGAACAGGTACATACATATTTTTAAGTTTTAATTAATATTTGTGAGAAATAAAATGTACGTTTGTAAAGGATAATTTAAAAAATTTTTTACAAGATTTAAAAACTTCCCGTAAATCTTCTAATAGAACCACATGTGCTTTTATTTTTTTGATCCTTTCATAGAATGCGGTTATATTAGGGAGTGTGCCTCTTTCAAAGAGTGGTTCTATTAGAAGATTTACGGCATTTTAAGTATTTTAATGCAATTCCAAATAAATGGAAAGATTTTTACTATGGTTATTATGATTGTTATAAATGTTGTGAAAATAAATGTATAAATGCAGACAATCCTAAAGGTGTTTGTGTAAGAGGAAATGGATTTGTTAATTTAATTGATGAAGAAAATATTAATTATATTAATTGTAAGGAGGGGAAAGGTAAATTGGGGGTTTTTTTGGAAATATTTTAATTAATTTTTAAGGAAATTTTGTTTTTAATAACGCATCTAATATTTCTGCTGAAAATTCGTTTAATAAACCAAAAGAATATACAAATAATTATTCTTTATTTTATTTTGAAATTAAATGTAAAATTGAAGGAGAGCCAGTAAATAATGACAAAAACTGGGTTTTTATGGGTCTTTTCAACAATGAAAATTATTTTGTTGAATTATCTTTAAATGAAGCTAGTATATTCTGCAAAGCTGAAAATAAAGAAGTAAAGATAAAATTTCCAACATTTTCTTGGAATAATGGAGATATTTTTGGCTGTGGATTAGTATATCCACCAACTGATAAAATAAATGAATTTCCTTTTTCTTTCTTTACTCAAAATGGAAAATTAATTGGTAAATATTTAAAGAATTTCAAAAATGATTTTTTTTTAATTTAAGATAAAATTATATTAAAAAACTTCAAATGTGATTTTTATAAGCCTTATGTTGCTTTGAAGTGTTGTTCTGTGGAAACAAATTTTGGAAATAATTTAAAAGAAAAACCTTTTTTATATAAAATTAAAAATAATTTTAATCAATTTTCTGTCAATTTTGATGATGAAGAAGAAGAAAGTTTGGAGTTCGATGGAGGTAAAGAAATATTAAATTTTAAAAATTAAAAAATATTAAAGAGTTAACAAAAGAAGAAACTGAATAAGTAAATGGATCAGCTTGAAATGTTTCCAATTAAGTAAGAAAGAAAGGACTAATAATGAAAGGAATTTGTCTTGATTTTTTAAATTTAAATATTGTTTTTGACTTAAAAATTGGTTTTAAATTTGTTATTTTTTATTTTTCAATTATTTTAAACAAACCATAAAAATGATTTTTCATTAAAAATATTTAATCACATTTAAAAGTTTACAACTTTTTTTATTTTAAAAATAATTTATTTTAATTTTTTTAGATTAGATTATTATCTTGTATTAAAATTTTAATTTAAAATTAAAAATTACATATTATTTTTAGACTGGAATCGCAGCAACTTAAATTTAATGTAAAATAATTGATGTATGTAAAAAAGAAAATAAATATTCTTCGAATTTATCTTTAATTATTTATCTAATTGCTTTTCCATTTGTTTTGTTTTAATCGATTTAAAATATAATAATGATATCAATTTTATTATTAATTAACTATCACAATTAATGTTTATGTATAGTTTTTTATACTTGCTGTACTTTAATTTAACTTTTCCGATTAGAACCCTGTTTTATTTATATAATTCCGAATTTAGTAAAGGATTTTTAATTTAAATGAATAAACTTTCTGGTTATATTTCTTTAATGGATGTTGAGAAAAGGGCTTTAGAAATAATGCCGTTATCAGTGAAAGGATACTATGTTAGTGGAGCTGATGATGAAGAAACATTAAAAGAGAATCGAGAAGCTTTTCGGAAGTGAGTTCTGTTACGTATTTGAATATTTAAATAGTATTGAATAATTTAAAGGTATAGAAACATTTACATATTTTTTTAAATCAATTTCTTAACATTGTAAAAACATTTTATTTGTCTAAATATTCAGATAACCGCGTAACAATTCCAAAAAATAAAATTCAATCATAAATCTGACAATACAAGGCTCTATTTTACTTAAATACTTATTTAAAAATGACATTTAAAAGTTTTCTTCTCCGTCCATTGGTCCTTCGGGATGTCAGCAATTTGAATACATCCGTTCACTTTTGTCTAAATACTCCCTCAAAATCTGCAATACAAAAAATACGAGAATTCAAATTCCCCTATCCTATCGGAATTGCTCCTACAGCTTTTCAACGAATGGCACACGATCAAGGAGAAATTGCGACTGTTAAAGGTGTTGATATTAAAAAATGGAATTTAAAATATAAAAAATATTTTTTATATAGCTGCCAGTGAAATGAGTGTACCTATGATTTGTAGTACATTATCGACTACTCCTTTAGAGGAAGTGGCAAAAAATGCTAGTGATAATGCAACTATTTGGTTTCAAGTAGGTTATTACAACAAAAGATGACATAGTACCATTCAGCTTAGAAGACTATGAGAATTTTAAGGAATTTTCTTCATTTCCCAAAGAAGGATGCTTTCCTTTAATTAAACTTTTCTGACAATAATTACTTTTTCAAAGTTATATATCTACAAAAATCGAGCATTAACAGAAAAACTTGTTCGGAGAGCTGAAAAGGCAGGGTTTTCTGCATTGGTCTTAACAGTTGATGCACCCCATTTTGGCAGAAGAAGAGCTGATGAAAGGAATGAATTTAAATTGCCTGAACATTTAAAGTACTATTTTTTAATGAATTCGTTAAAAATTGTTAATAAAAAAGAAATATTTAGAGTTGCAAATTTCGAGCAGGAATCTAAATTTGCCGATAATGATGGTGCTTCAGGTGTTTTTTTAAATCAATTTATGAAACTTGTTCAAGAAAGACATATATAGTTAGGTAATCAGACCTTTCCTTTGAATAGATTCCTGAATCTTTGTTGATTAATTAAAAATAATTTTTGCATGGCGCGAAAACCGACGTTTAGAATAATTTATCGGAATCTCTGTAAAGAACCCGTCTGAAAGCAATTTAACCACAAAATACTTTTTTATAAAATTTAAATATTTAAAATTAGGATTGACTAAATATATTATTTCAAACTTTGATCCAACTTTAAATTGGGAAGTTCTTCGATGGTTGGTGGATTTTAGTATTTTACCAGTCAGTTAAACATTTATTATTAAATATTCAAACATTCTAAATCAAGGTAATAGTTAAAGGAATTATGAGAGGGGATGATGCACTTTTAGCTATTGAAGCGGGGGCTGCCGCAATTATTGTTTGTTTTTCACTAATCTTTTTCAATAAAAATCCTTAAATCATTTTAGGTTTCGAATCATGGGGGCCGTCAATTAGACTGTTGCATGTCTACGGTAGTTTTTTAAATTTTGTTATTTATCTATGAAGGGGATAATTAATAGAGGGAGGGGAGGAGGGTTTTTGCTAATACCCGGCCTGTGACTACAATTATAGTTTTCTCTTAAATTTAATCGGATTAATTGAAAGAGGAAATTGTTCAGCATTATATGGATATTTACAGACATTGTGTTTCCTTTTTAATCAACTAATCACTAAGCAAACCACCGATAAAATTAATGTTTAAAAATTTAGGAGTCTATAATTATTGTTGTCTTTTACTAGATTGATGCCCTTCCAGAAATTGTTGAAGCAGTTCAGGACAGAGTACCGGTCATTATTAAAATTTTATTCCCTAGTGAAAATATTTAAGATGTATTTAGGTATTTGTTGATGGAGGTTTTCGAACCGGTACAGATATTTTCAAAGCATTAGCAATTGCTGCCCAGTTAGTATTTATTGGACGTCCAATTATTTACGGATTGGCTATTGGGGTAATTAATGGGAATGACTTTATATATTTTAATTTTTTAGGGCAAGGAAGGTGTAGAACATGTACTTAAATTGCTTAAAACTGAATTTGATTATGCAATGAGGTTGTCTGGTAGGAAGAAAAATTATCCAAAAATATTTTTATTATATTTTAATTTTTAGGTTGTGCTACAATTTCGCAACTTCGTTCTCATAAGGATATTGTTGTTTATCGAAATAGATTTTTTTCAAAGCTTTGACTTTTATTTGTGTATTAATTATCTTAAATATTTTAATATTTCTGGGGTTTTAAATAAATATTCCTAATTCAAGACTTCGAAATTCTTAAATAATGAAAAACTTTATTTTTTTTATTTTACAAAAATATAAAATTTTCCCCATATGTATTTCCAACTTAACATTTTCTTAAAAGGAGCTCTGTCTTAAAAGATTGAATAATGAGGGATATAATTTGAAAAGTTATTCCGGCATTGAGGAAATATCTGTACAAAAGACCTATTCATTAAAAGACCTTCGCGGCCAACTTTTTAAATCATATACACAGCTAGAATCGTTAAAAGATCTACGCGGCCAAAATAGGTTAAAATGTCGTTTTTTAAATGCTTGAAAAGGGATTGTTGCGTGCCAATAGTTAGAGCATGGAGTTGAGTGCTTATAATCTTTTGAGTTTTTTGCCGCTGTGGAGGAAGCGGCTGCCGGGCTGATAATGCGGTCATTTTAACCCGATGTGTCCCAGTTTTTCCAAAATACAGATCTTTAAAGAATTTTTTATTATTCTAGGTTAATCATTTTACATTTGTTTTTCCTTTTTTGTTAACAATTTTTTGTTTAAAAAATAATTTTCGCAATTTTTGTAGAACGATGGATACTGATAATTCTGATAATGATGATGTATTTACTGTCGATGAATTGGAACAACTTGAGCAAATGCGCAATGATTTATTGGCTGAATTGAAAGGAAGCGAGGATCAACAAGATGAGAGTATTGAATATGAAGGAATTGAAAATGAAGAGATGAATAATGTTGTGAAGGATTTGCAAGATGCTTCTGATGGTGCTAATCCTAATGAGTGTAAGTATTTATTTATATTTTTTAGTAAAATTTAATCAAAGAAACTGGTAGTAAAATTTAGATAGACTAAATGGTTAAAAATTATCTAGGCAATTTTTAGGCAAATTCAATTTTATATATTTGTAACTTGAGGTTAAATAATTTACAAAATTAAATTTTTTATCAACTGTGAAGGGCTATGAGGGAAGACTTTTTCTAATTTCTATCCAAGTTTATAATTTTACCTAATATTATTTTAGCTATTCAACAAAACGAATCTTTTGAGGAAGAAGTAATACAAGAGGAAGATGACGATTCTGATAGTGAAGAAGATTTTAATCAAGAAGAAATCTCCGAACATATTGACAATTTATTGGAAGAACCAATTAAAGAAGGTGTAAAAACAACTCCAAAACATTTATCAAAAAGGTTATGGAATTTTTCTTTAAACTTAAAAAAATTTTTTTGAAAAGATTTAAACGTGTTTTGGAATACCGTGCAAACGATCACTTTAATGTTTTGCCTGATGGTTGGGTGGAAATTACTCATGCTAGCGGTCTTCCTGTTTATTTGGTTATTTTATAAATTGAATAAGAGGCAAAATCTAATTTGTAGGGTAAAAGTAATCCTCTAAAATTGGATTTTTTTGGAAAAAAATTAAAAGAAATTAATTTCGAAATTGTGTTAAAATTTAAGTGTCAAAAAAATTCTTTTTATCTTCATACCTAAGAATATTTTTCAGCACAAACCTACTCGTGTCTGCACATTTTCGCGACCTTATTTTATTGGAAGAAGTTCAATTAGAAAACACAAGTTTGTTTTCTTATGAAAATTTTTTTTAATTTCCTTGAAAAATTTTTTCAAGAGTCCCAGAATCAGCAATTACCTGTCTTTATCAGAAAAAATATCAAGATGAGGTTGAAGCATCTCTTAAAGCGGCACAAGATCCATCTGTTGTTAATGAAGAGGGGATGAATAAAGATGGAGGAGGTATTTAAATTTTATTGTTGTGTAAAAAAACAAAAAAATTACTTTGTGAGTTGTGAAATTTACTATATTTGACATTTAATCTATTTTTTAATATTTTGTTTTTATAGAAGATTCAAGTAACAATATTTCTGGAAAATTAATTACACCAAATGTTCGAGTAAAGGTTCTTAAAAAATTTTGTTTTTTAATTTATTTTTTATTTTAGACAGAATTGGATCAACGTAAAATGCAACTTACTGCTGATCAACTTTATTCTTATGCAAAGGATCGCTTTAAATTTAAAGAAATTTGTATTTATCGTTTTGGAAAATGGACAGAAGCACGGAATTTTTATAAAAAACGAAAAATGCGGCAACTTTTGGTTGGCGGAGAGGGAAGAGAAGGTGGACATATGAAAACAGGATTTAAAACACGAGAAGAACGGCCAGGTTTTCGAATCAATTTTTAATTTAAAAATTAAGAAAAATTGTTTTAGGACTTCCCAGTGATGTAAAATTGATTACTGTTCCTTCACTTGAAATTGATTCAAAGCCAAACAAAAGACTTTTTTATTTAAATCCGCAAGGAAAAACTTCTGTTAGTATTTTACATGGTTTGATTTTTATTTTTTTTATTTTAATCTTGAATTTTTAGAATTTGTACAAAAAGCACTCAAATGCACTGTTAGATATTTCTTTAGCGAGACTAGGTATTTAAACTTTATTTTTTATTTTAAATTATGCTTTTATGTGCATCAGGGAACGCGCCGACAGAAAATTAAATTCCCGATTGTCGGGAATCGTGAATTCCCGAAAATTTTGAATTCACGAATCGTGAATCGGGTCGGCGCGCTCCCCGATGTGCATAATTTATTTTATTTTTTTGCCATTTTATATTACCAAATTAAATTTATAAAAAGATATTTTTTAGAAGTAGTGCTACCCCTTATCATTGTGCAGTCAAACTAGTATTGAATAATTCTCAAACTACCACACAAAATACCGGTCGTAAAAGATTTTATAATTCTCAACAAAATCAACAACCTTACGCAGAAATTGTTAAACAAAAATTGGCATTAATGCATGAAGATTTTAATAAAATAAATTCTGGACAAAAACTTTCTAGCAGTACTGATGCTGAAAATAAGACTGCTGATGATCCTTCTGATTCAGGTTTTAGCTTTAATTTAAATATTGCAATGAGAAATTAAAATAATTAAATTTGAATTAAATAATCTGGACTAATAAAATTATTGTCTAAAAATTGGGAAAATCTCCAGTATTTCTAATTTTTTGACTCTAACTCAAAACTTTTAAGCTTTAAAAAATAAATTCTGTTTGCTTTTTCTTTACACCTTAATAGAGTTTATAAAAATTTAATATTAATTATTAAGAATTCGTTGTACTCGGCGAAGGTTTTGGCCCTGGTAAAAAGCAAGCAAAAATGATAGCTGCAAAGGCTGCTGTTGAGAAACTTGTACCTGGTGTTGAGTTTGATGTTGATGGAATTGCTTGTAATAGTAATAAGTTTGTTAAATTTTTAAATTATTTTTCATTGGCAAAATTTTAAAAGACACTTTTAAATAATTTCTAAATTTTTTTTTTCAGCAGAAATGAACTCTCTGAAAATGCTCCAACCTCTTCCAACAATTTAATTACAAGTTGCCCTTTGATGGCTTCTGGAACTTCTGTTGGGTCGTCAATTACTGATGGTGATAGAAATGATTTGCATATTTTTGATATGATTGGAGTGACTGATACAAGAATACCTGAATTATGTGCACGTGCTGGGCAACCTTCCCCATATCTTGTGCTTCAAGTAATTTTTATTTTACTACATTTTCATCTAATTTATCCCTTTGTCAGAATTAGAAAATATTTTAAATTTTAAAATTAAATATTCCTGTTATATTTTGACTGAATATATTTATTCTAGAGCATCCAAACATATTAAAGAAAATTAAAAAAAAAATATTTTTTAGGAATATTTAAAAAGACATTCTGCATTTGGAGATACAGCAATTAATTTAACTAGTCGTTTACTTCGTCATCAACGTCACGAATTTAAATTGTCAATTGGTGAGGAATTGAGCGTTAAAGTAATTAGTGGAAATAAAAGAGAAGGAAAGCAAATTGCCGCTCAAGCAATGTTAAAAAAATTACATCCAGAGGTTTTTAAAATAATTTTTAATTTAAGAAAACAATTTTTCTAGATTGAAACATGGGGTGCAATCTTGAAACTTTATGGTCATGAAGCACAACAGAAATTCCGAGATGCTAGGAAAAATAAAGATAGTGTGGTTAAACTACAAAGTATTCAAGGTGGATAAATATTTTGATTTTTTTAATTTTTGGCTTTTAATTTTTTAAGAATTTTTTCGAAATTATTGTCTGGTTTTTGAGCATTATTCTTTAGTTTTTTTAAAAACTATTATCTCAATTTAATAAAAAATTAAATTTGGCTTTATGAGATAAGCTAAATACATATTTAAATTTTAAGAAATAAAATTTAGCATAGATGATCCTTTTATTTTCTGTCCATCAAAACAAAAAAATATATTGAAAAAATTGTCCTTTACCTTAATTTTTCATTTTAATAGATGAAGCAAATGTTCGCCAATTTCAACCAAATAAACTTATTTTGGAAAAACTTCGAAATGAAATGCTTAAACTCTCCGGCGATTTAATCAAAAATTGTTCTTCTAACAACCAAACGGATGGAGAAGAGCCTCTTGCAAAATTTAGACGATCTGATTTTTGTTCAGAATTGCCTATACTTAGTGAAGAAAAGCTTTCCGAACTTTCAGCTAAATTTATGTCAGAACGTCCAGAATTACAAAAATGTTTGCCTTCTGTTAGGTTCTGAATGAAATTTTATTTTTTATTGTTTAATTTCAATGACTTTGATATTGGTATTTACTAGCTGCTGGTTATATTCCCCATAAATTGAAATTTTACATTTGAACTAATTGTCAAATTAACTCTATATCACTTATTATCTTGTAAATACCTATATTTATCTTTATGCTTAAAGACATTTTTCCACAAACATTTCTTATATCGTTTATTTATTCAAATTATAAAATTTATTTTTTAGATAAATATTTCTTAAAAATGGAATAAATAACATTTTTTTGATCCATTATAAAAGGGGAGAAATTTAGAGTTTTTATTAGAAGTAAAAAGCTCTCAAGTAATTATTTTTCTTAAAAAGAATGTTTTTAAGTTACTTTTAAAGTGTATTCTAGTGAAAGGAATGAAACAAAAAAATAATTATTATATGTAGAGTGAATGGAGATCAAGTTATAAAAAACAAGTCAAAACAATCATTTGCAAAAAAATTTGTTTTTATTTTTCTCGATTTTTTTTTTAAAATTATAGATTTTGCGATTTATAGTTTATTATTTACTACAATTTTAAAATGTGACTACTTGAAAGTCTGGCTCACAATAGATTAATTAACTTATAAAGAAAATATTTAAATAATAAAATGCAAAATCAGAATATAAAACATCGAAACTTAAAAATTAAAAATCCTCAACATTTTTCCTTCACGTTTATTTTAAAATTATTAGTTGGATTTATTTCTTTTTCGCTTTTTATTATTTGGATTAGTACATTATTTTTGTTTGATGAAATATTTAAAATTGAACAAGAAATTGATAAAATAATGAATAATTTTGAGGTAGAGAAAGTTTTAATTTTTTCTTACCCATCCTAATTGGTAGATTTTTGGCTTAAAAATTCTTGAGATGGAAAAGGTTATGTCTAGCTCTAACATATTAAAAATTAACTTTAAGAATTAAATGTTTTAATTTCTCAATATAGAAATCATTTAACCATTCAATTACTGAACTAATTTATATGGAAAAACAAAAAAGATTATCAAAAGTTGAATCAATCACAACAAAAAGAGAGACGATTGAGAAAAGAAAAGAATGCCCAGTTTGTCCACAAGGCCGTCCAGGAAAGCCAGGATTGCCTGGAGGTAGTCTAAATTAACGAACAATTTGAATAAAATCAAAACACAAAAATAGACGATGGAATTAATGGAGAGCCTGGAATGCCTGGCTTAAATGCTTCTTTTACTTTAACCAATATATCTTTACAAAAGAAATGTATTCAATGCCCAAAAGGAATGCCTGGTCCTGTTGGTCCGCCTGGATGTATTTTCCCTTATTTAAATTTTGATTGAATTATTATTTTAGTCCCTGGATTGCCTGGATTAGATGGCACTAAAGGAATACAGGGATGTGCCGGGCGTGATGGGGAAATTGGCCTAACTGGGTAAATTTTTGAAATTAAATTTACATATAAGCTAAGTATAATTCTTCAAAAAATATTTTAAGTCCTCCTGGTGATCCAGGCATTACTGGCCAGGATGGATTAGAAGGGGAAACAGGCAAGCATAAACTGTTTTTCAAATAATTATATTTTTGCTTTAAGTTGTTAAATTAAATGCAAGCAGAGGATTGCCTGGAGATGTAGGTGTGTGTGTTTTTGAAAATATATTTTGGATTTCTTAAAATTTATTAAGGATCGCCAGGCCCAGTCGGACAAATAGGTCCACAAGGACCTAAAGGTTTCCCTGGTATTCAAGGGCCGCCTGGAAAGGTAAATATTTTATATTTTTAAATTTAAAAATATTTTTAAAGAAAGGGCCAATAGGCGAGCCAGGCACAGACGACCATTATTGTTCTTGCAATTCCTGGATGAAAAAAGTAAATCATCTAAAATTTGAATTAATAAAGACTAGACAAATTTAATTGAAATTTTCGGGGAATTGTTTTATCCTCTCTAAATTTTTAAAAATTATTTTAATTTCCTTTTCAGATTTCTCAAAACTCTCAAGAGACAATAAATAATTATAATGAAAGTGAAGCAAAGTCATTGACTTCATTTCTCAACATTAATAATTTTAACAACAAAAAAGCTTTTTTAAGAGCACTTCTTAGAAGAAGAGCATTTCTTCGTCGAAGGCTTTTAAGGCGATTTCAGAGAGAGGTAGGGGAATGGGGTTTAAATATAAATTTTAAAAAAATTTATTTTTTAATAAAATGCACTAATTAAAAAGTATTTTTATAAAATATTATTTTTATTCACTTAAAACATTGGCTCATCTGGCGCCAACTGTTGTTTTAATGAATTTATTTTATTTATTTGTGGTTTTTAATTAATTCTCCTTTTTTCTATTTATTTTCAAAATTAGGTTTTAAAAAATAAAATTTATTCTCCTATGATTTTGGAAAGTGTTTTTTTATAAAAATATTCTATATTTAGAATTTGAGCTATAAAATAGAGATTTTGTAGCATTATTTTTTAAATTATTTCTATTACTTTTTACAAATATAAGTACCTTAACAAAATTATTAATCTTCATTACCCCCTCCCCTCTCGTCGTAAGAATTTAAAAATAAATGTTCAGAAATATATATTTCAGAAATAGATACATACCACAGAATTTTTCATTTTATATACTAACTAACCAACTTAACTTTTATTGCAATTCACATTAAAAATTTATTTTCAACAAAATTTATTTAATTTTACCTCAAAAATGTTCTTTGATTTTTTAAATTTTTTTTAGATTTTTAAGAATATAGATATATTTTATTTCTTTTATTTTTTACTTCCTAATTGCCTTCATTAAATCTTTTTTTTATTATTAAGCTATTTAATTCTTTTAACGATCACACACACAATTTTTTTCCTTTCTAACGAAAATAAACGAAAAAAAGTTTATTTTAAGTTGTTTATTTTTATTTGTTTTTTTCTTCCAAATTAGGCTAATTTATTGACAAAAATTAATATTTAAATATATTCTGTGAAATTATTTTTAGTTTAATTTTAAATTCTTTTTTCTAAAAATATTTATTTTATTTTTTATTGGCCTATATTCTTTTAATTTTTTGCGCTTTTTTATTGGCAAAAAAATTCTTTTGCGAAAGCATTTATTTTGCGTCATAGCCCTAAAGGGGGATGAGGAAATAAACGTTCAAAGAACATTAAAAGAATTATTTAATGTTTGCCTTAAAATAAATAAATTTTATTTTTTTATTTATTTTTCTTTTTAAATTTATCTTCTCTTTTTTACTGTTAAAAACTCATTCTTTCCCTATGCTCGTTAAAATATAGTTGAACAAAAAAAATTAGGACAACAAAAAATATTTTTATTTATTTAGCTTTTTTAACAAAGAAAATTTAATCATTATTTTTGTCTAGTTTTTTTAAAAGTATTTCCTGTATTTTTTTAGTAAAAAAGAAACATTTCTCTCTTTGAAAAATGAGAAGAAAAAAGGAATTATTGTAGTTTTGGAAAGGAAATTGGGGAAAAACAAAAATATGGGGGGAATTGAAGAATATGTATTACGTAAAGGGTTTGATAATATTGTTAAAAATAACTTTGTAACTTGGAGTAACTTAAAAAGAAAGCAAAAAAGAATTAAGGGGATATAGAGAAGAGTGTGAAATTGGGGGAAGAGAAAAGTTTTTAGACCTTTTAATCGGATGTTAAAAATATTGGACATAAACTTTAACTTTACAGAACGGAGAAGCTTTGTAAAGAATGGGAAAATATTGGATATAAGTTTTCAAGGAACAAGGAAAAGACGAGAAAAAGGGGGGGGACGAGAAAAACAAATTTAAACATTATTTTTTCATTTTATTTTCCATTTCCAACATTAGAGACCTGTCAAAAAAGCGCAATTACGACAAAGAATCATTCTTCTTTTTCATTTCATCTTCTGTCAAATAAGTGCCATTTTCAACATTCCTTTTATGGAGTGTGACAATTTATAAAAATTAAAAATATTGTTAAATGTGTAATGAATGATTATTTAAATTTGTTTTTTAATTAAAAATTTTGTTTTCTGCTCAGACTTCCAATTTACTTTTGGCTTTTTATGAGGGATGTCCCCATTTTTTTCTAAATTTTAACTAATATGTATTTATTTTTAAAATAATAGTACAAACATTTTTGACATTTTTCAGTCAACCTATTTAGTATTGGATAGTGATGTTCGAGACTCTCGGTCTCGACTCTCGAGTCGAGAAATTTCTCGGGTTTTTTGAGCTCTCGGTCTCGGTCTCGGTCTCGGTGTTTTGGTCTCGGAAAACGAGACTAAATTTACACCCCTAATGACGGAAATTTTTTGAACTTTACTCGTACCTTGCGTACTTTGATATTAAAATTTTTAAGGAAAAGTCTCCAAAATTCCCAAAATTTTGCCTGCGGCGCTGAAAAATGGAAGAAATCTGGCTTCTTGAGCTCCAAAATTCTCAAAATTTTCGCCTGCGGCGCTGAAAATGGAGGAAATTTGGCTTCTTGAGCTCCAAAATTCAAAAAATTTTCGCCTGCGGCGCCAAAAATGCAGCAAAAATTTGAATTTAATAAGATTAAAGGATTAGATTTTGTGGTTTGTGGTATATTAGATACTGTGGATTCTGAAGGATAAAATTTAATATCAAGGGATGGGTGCATCGATGGATCAAAAAGATATTGTTGGATTTGTAGGGATATGGAAGGATATGAGGGGATTTTAAGAGATTAATGTGAATATCATTGAATATATATTGTGGACAAGTGGATTCAAGCGAGTATGGGGATTTTGAGGTATATCAAGGGATTTTTGGGGATTAGGAGGGACATCAAGTGATATCCCTCTTAATCTCTCGGTCTCGACTCTCGACTCTCGTTTTGGTCTCGGTCTCGGGGTTGATTCTCGGTCTCGGTCTCGACTCTCGACTCTCGGGATTTTTTGACTCTCGAACATCACTAGTATTGGATAAAAAAAAAGGGGGGGGGAGGGGATGTTGGTGTCATCAATTGACAAATGGCCGTTGATGAAAATGTTGAGTAGTAAAAAAATTCAAGTAAAAATGCCACTAACGATGCCTTCCTCATTTTAACCCAAGGGGCGATTTTGCACGTTATTTCCCTCGTTTTCCTTATTTTTTTAGAAAAAATATCCCCTCACTATTAACTACATATACACTACATCAAAAATGCTTTGCCCTTTTGCTCTTATTTATGCCGCCAGAAATAAAAGAATAAAAAAAGAAGCTATCGCTAATTGGGGCCACCCCCTCCAGCATTTGCCAGCTTTTCCTTTTTTTGCTTTTGCTGCCAGCCGCTAGTGGCTCTCGGCCTTTTCACTTCTAACACATACATTCACCACCACCAGCACTTCATCCCTTCCACTTGTTAATTGTCTCTCTCTCTCCCTCAGCCCTCTCATGGACAATTTACAAACACACAATTGTTAATGTACATATTATTTATATAAATTTTCTCTTTTCATTTTCTTGTCTATCAGCCATTTTAATTCTTCCAACTTTTCTTATTCTTTTCTCTTTCTCGACTGGTCTCGACCTTATTTCTTGCCAACCGCCTTCTCTTCCACTGACGATTTTTTTCTTTTTCACAACTAGGACCACTCTTCTTTTTTTTATTCTTCTTCCCTTTCCCTTAACATTTCTCAATCGATGGTCCCCCCGTGAACGCAATTCGACTCTACATTGTCTGTTGGAGTTTTGGGGTGGCTGGTAGCAGCCATAGAGAGGAGTGAAGAAATGAAAGCAAAGAAGCGGCTGCCCATTTCGCAGCGTTGTTCTTCTTCCTTTTCTTTTACTTCCACTTTCTTTTTCCTCAATCACAACCCTTTCTCTTCTTCTTTTTTTTTATTCAAAGCTTCTCACACATCCCCCCCATACCCCCAAGACTTCTTCCAATACTTTCCACAATTTCTTTCCAACCTCAACATTAGCTTTCTCTCTCTCCAATCTCGCCTACCCCCCCCCCCTACCCCTCCTCCCCTTCCCTCTATTTTCTATTCATTCACACTTGGGGCAGTCTTTGTCCGTCTGAGGTTTTTGGGCCTTGGTTGTGGGCCTTTACTGCCCACACACCACAATAACTGCTATGTATGTATATCATGTCTTCTTTTCATTTTATTTGTGCGCGTGTCCTTTTTCTTTCGTTTTTTCGGCTGTCCCTTAATTCTACTTGCACTTAATCATATTTTATTTGAATTTATTAAGACAGCTTTCTTTTGATTTTTTAATTTAAATATTTTTTTTATTTTGAATTTATTTTAATAATTTTTTTTAAACTTTGAACTTCTGCTGTTTTTTTTTATTTAACCTCAATATTCATTCAAATAATATTTTTGATTATCTAACCTCCTTTTTGTAGGAATTATTCATTTTCTGTTTTTGGGAAAATAAAAAAAATTTTTTTTTATTAATAAATGATAATTCGCCCTTACATTAAACTTTTGTTTGTATTTTGAAAAATTTCTAAAATATTGGAAAATGGATTTCATTATTATTCGAGGACCCTGCTTCTTATAAATAAAAATATTATTTTAATTTCACACGTGCCCGGAAGTAGCGGTCAACAGACAAACGTCTATGTAGACTTGTGGGTGGCGTTGAAATGGGGAGAAGGATTATTAATTAATTAGTTAATTAAAAAATATTTCCGGAGATTTGTCCTCATTTAATATTAATTATTGCAAAATAAGTTTAAATACATATTTTAGCAGTCTTGACAATAAAAATTTTTTATTTATACATAAAAATGACTGGAAAGCATTTAACTTGAAATTTTTAAATTTAATAATACATTAATATTTTTCTTTGAAATTTTTTGCCTCAAAAACCTGTATTATTGCAAAAATATTATTTAATGTGATAAAAAGAACTCACAATCAGAAAACTCCTATCAAAATAATCATTTTTAGTTTTCTTTGTAAAATTATTGAATAAACTAATTTTTGATCATCAACGAATTTTTTTTTTTAAAAATTTGATTTCTTTTTATTTTAATTACTTTTTTCCTTTATATTTTAAAAATATTTAATTTATAAATTTTTTTAAAATTTATTCCTTTATTTAATTTAATTCCCTTTTTTATTTTAAAATTTTTCAGGTGCTGACCGTTCCGCTAAATTCCTAGTAAAAATAGTTCAAGAAACAGCGGCGGCAATAAATAAATTGGGGACCAAAAAACAAAATTAAAACACAACGCCAATAAATTTCTTTTATTGTTTTTATTGCTGCCAGTCATTTAATTATTTTCTTTTAATTATTTAACGATTTCTTTTATTATTTTGTTTCATCAATTTAAACAACAAAAACAACAAAAAAAAAGAAAATGGAAAAAAGAGAATATATTTATTTATTTTCTCCATTTTAACAATTATTAATTTGGAATTTAAATTTTTAATTCTTTCCTTGCCTTTTGCGCTTCTTTTAAATGCGTTGGAGTTGTTGTGCCTCATCCCATTCTATTTCTTCTTCTTGTTCTTCCTCTTCCGCTTCACTAAGTTCACAGGAAGATGAAAATTCAAGACAACATAGCCCGTAAGTAGGAAAAAAAGAGAAATAAATATTTAATAAAAAATAATTGGAGAGAATTTACTATTTATCGTATAACCTGTATTAATTGCCCCCCCCCCTCAAATAATTACCCCACTTCTATTAATTACCCCCTCCAGCAAAATTGAAATAATAATTACCCACCCCTATCAAATCCTTAAAACACACTCTAATTTTAAACCTCATATAATTACCCTCCCTCAATTAATTACTCCCTCCAGCGGAAGGTCGAGACAATAATTACCCAGAATAATTATTCCAAGTTTTACGGTAAATGTTTTTGAGGGTTTATTTGCCCCCTCTTGGAATTTAAATCTCTATACTTGTTAAATTATTTACATATCTAATTGTTATTCTCGGTTAACATTTGGAATAAAGGAAAATATAAATTTAAAAAAATATTTTTGTACTTTCAACCTTTTATTTTCAACGAAACACCTTAAAAGTTTATTTTTATGTTTTAAAGTAAATTGAACAAAAAAAATAAAGAAAAACTTTTTTGTTTTTCTCTTAACAAATAAATTTATTTCTTTATAAAATCCATTAAAAAACTTTTAAAATATTTAAACTTCCTTATAAAAAAATAGAAATGCGTCACCTAGCAATTTAATTGCTTTGAAAGCTGTGGCCAACGGTGGAAAACGTCGTCATCATAAGAAAAAGAAAAAAGGGAACAAAGGGGAAAATAATGATGGACTTGGGACTAAATTGCGGACATTGGCTGAATCTTCTTCTACAAACACTTTTTCAACTGTAAATTATTATTTTTACATAAAAATACATAAAACTCATTAAATAACGTTTGGTAAATGTCCAGTTGGCGGTCTACATGTCCGCAAAGAGAATCTGCTCTTTTCTTTCCTTTTCTTGCATTTTTTGCGTTGGGAGAAGTGCTCCACTCATTTTTCCTTTTCTGCCATTTTTCCTTCTCAATACAGTATGTTTTCCTGTTCATACTTGAAAAATAAAAATACCTCTAATTAGAAAAAAATGATTTATTTTACAAAATACCCGGTTTCCGGGCTACTGGGCCCGGAAAACCCGGTCCCGGTCCGGGTTAGAGCTCTAATAAAAACTATGAGGAGGAGGATGGATGTAAAAAGTGGGCCCATGTCTTTACTCAATATCGATATCCTAAAACAAGAAAATCAACGTAGAACAGGTTATGTCTCCTTAAATATTATTTTGAAATTTTTTAGATCATTAATTTGGGCTCATTAGAAAACCATAGATCTAATGTATTATTTGTAAATCTAAATCTATCATTTGTAAAATATTTTTTTTCTAATTAAAGGTATTTTTATTTTTCAAGTATGAACAGGAAAACATACTGTATTGAGAAGGAAAAATGGCAGAAAAGGAAAAATGAGTGGAGCACTTCTCCCAACGCAAAAAATGCAAGAAAAGGAAAGAAAAGAGCAGATTCTCTTTGCGGACATGTAGACCGCCAACTGGACATTTACCATAACGTTTGACTCCCAGTAATACCTTTTTCTTGGGAGAATGGGCAATAAATAAATTTAATTGTATTTCCATTACTTTCCTGATACGATAATAAAACAACCCTAAATACCTATATTTTTTAATTCCCTTTTTAAAAAATTTTGGATATTTAATTTAAATATTTTTTTATAAAATCACAAAATTTTCTTTCCTTTTCATTAATTAAAAAAAATAAAATAGGCCGTTAAACCTACCGATAGCATAATCAGAAGACAGCCAGAAGGTATTCTCAAGGGTACTCATCAAAGGATTGGTCGGCCGCCCGGTCGCGCCGTTCAATATGCAGAGGGCACAAATTCAGGAATTGACACAGCTGAAGGGCAACCAATGCTTTCATCACAAGGAACGGTAAAGGAAAAATTAAATTTAAAAGAATAAAATAAACAAATAAAATTTTTTTATAAGGGTACCCATTATTTTTATCTGATTATTCATGTAAATATTTAATTTTCAATTTAAATACCTAACATTATCTTCCTTTATTTTTTAAATTTATTTTTTTAATTTTCCAAAAAAAGACCGATCCAGCTTCCTCCCCAACCTGTTCTTCCCCTTCCTCACCTCCAACATCTTTCTCTTCTAATGGCGATCCTTCCTCTTTTATGGCCAGACGCGCATCTGCCACTCAAATGGAACAATACGGTCCTATGTTGTTGAGACATTGCAAAAGGGTATATTAAAAGAGAAAAATTGTTTTTGATTTAAACTTTTAATTTAAAGGCTTTATTGGTGCTTAATTCTTTTTCAACTTCTGCTGGAAATATATTTAATAACAAACCAACGTGTTCCTCAAATTCTATTAATGATTGCCCTTTGTTTTGTAATTTAAGGAAAGCTGGGTGGGAAATAGAGGTGAATATTGTGGAATAATTAAAAAGATTTTTTAAAAATTAAAAGATTTGTACTTCACAATCAGCTTTAGACGAAGTTCGTACTCGAAGGCCTGTCATTATTTTATTGGATGGAATTACTCATTGTGGTAGTAGACGTAGAGAATATTTTGCTAATGAATTGTTTAGGTGGGGGTTTTGTTTATTGGATAATTTAATTAATTAATTATTTTATTAAAATTAGAGTTAAGATTAGGTCGACTCGAACCAAAAGATCGATTCGGGCCTAGAATATTTGACTCGAAAGTGATTGGTACCAGCCCGACTCGATAAAAACAAGCCCGAAAAAATGCTTCGACCGTCGGCCCAACTCGAAAACGGCAACCCTAGCTAAGATATACTTTCTGTTACTGATTCAGAGCTGTTACAATTTTGTAAAAAAACAATTTTGGGTGCTACTAATTAATTTTTATTTAATATCTTTAGTGTTTTGAGTACATAATCTCTCTCATTTATTTAAAAATTTTTAAAAATAATTAAAAAAATATTTTTTAGATTATTAAAAGAAGCACTTGTAGAACAATCAAAACAATTACTAACAACAGATGTGGAAGATGTTCTTTTTGTTTGGTTATTTGATAAATTACCTAATGAGAGGAGATTGCGGCATATGTCCAAACAAAGTGTTGTTACTAATGTAAGGAAAAAGAAAATATTTTTTTTGATTAAAAAAATTATTTTCTAAAATATAGGGGGTTCTGGACTGAACCGAAGAACCGAGGATTTTTCGGTTCGGTTCCGGATATCAAGATTTTCCAGGAACCGACAACCCTACTAAAATATATTTAATTCAAATTAATTAAAAACTTTTTTCAAAATATTTAATATCCATTTACATTTCCAGTATTTTTCGGTCTATTCTCTAAACAAATCCAAATTTAACTAAATTTATTCTTTAACTTCATATCGGAATTAAAAAATATTTTTTTTCGAAAATTTGAAACTTTTATTAAAATATAACCTTTAAGTTTTTACGATTTTAATTTTATTTTTTCTGTCAACTTTTTTTGATTGTTAAAATATGTTAAGTTTTTATTATTTACATGTGGTTTTTTGTCTGGACACATTCCTTTATTTTTTTAAATATTATTTAAAATGGTTATATCTTATCTATCTAATTTTTGAATTCTTTTAGAGTTTTAGACTTATTTTTCTTTAACAATTTTTCTTTCAAAAACTTATTTTCTATTAATTAGTTTCTTAATTGAATTTTAATTTTTCCCCAAATCCTTTTTGAAGTTTATATTTTAATTTTTCTTGCTATTATTTATTTAATAATAATTATTTTTATATTTTATTTTATTAAAAACAATTGAACAAATATATTTATATTTATTTTATATTTTATTTTCACTTTTTAAATTGTTTCTTTCTCTTTTCTCATTCCCAAAAAAAATCTTTTTTTTCTTCGAATTTTTATTTTCTTTTGGGTGCAACTCCATCCCCATATCTCTCAATGCGTCAGCGCATTTTGGCGAAAAAACGTTTAGTATGTGTGAGAGAGTAAATGAAAAAAAGAGGAGAGGGGAGGGGGGGTGATTTGGCTATATTTTGCAGGTGTTTATCAAAGTTTAAATAATAATTCTCATAAAGAAAAATAAATAAATATTTTTTATGGTTTATATTTTGTGAATTTTTGTAAAAATCTAGAAAAAATTTTATTTTTGATTTCACTAGAAATTATTCTTTTTAAATAATTTTATTTTTGAATTATTTTACTAAAAATTTTTACTTTTGTGGTACGAAGTACGAGTTGGATTTTGGCCTCGTACTTCGTACCAGCCTATTTTTTTGCTCGTACTCGTATTTCGAACCTAAGTACGAGTAGGAGTACGAATTTTGGTACGAGCTTATAAACACTGGTAGAGAGTTGATTCTCCTTTAAAAAAATTAATTTAATTAATTTTTAATAATTTAACCTTTAATAATTTTTAAAAATTTTTTAAAAAAAAATTTTTCTCCCTCATTTATTTTAATTTTTGTGCTTTCATTTTGTATGTTAAAAAGAGTTTTTTGTATTTTCTAAATAAATTATTTAAATATATTTTTGTGCAAATTCTTTTAAATATTTAAATCTTTTATTCTCTTCTTCTAATTTTTTTTATTATATTTAAAAATCCCCTTTTCACGGGGATTATTCTCTCAAATAAATTAATATCAATGTTGGCAATTTCTGCTACATTTGTAAATTATTTTAATTTATTTAGAGGAAATTTTTTTTATTTTTTAAAATAAAAATACAAAATTCCCCAATTAAATTTAATTAATTTATTAATTATACTATATCTGGTTCTTTTTTAAAAATATTCTAATTTACATTTATTTAAAGACCCCTTTTAATATTTTAAATTTAAACTAGTCAGAATTAAAAATTTATTTATCTTTTATTTTCCCTCTTTAAATTACCAATTATTTTAAATAATTGTTTACATAATTTTTTGTTATTCAGAAATTTTAATTTTGGATTTTCTTTTAATTATTATCCACATAAATTCGAAGATAAATTGAGACAATGAATAAATTATTCAAAATGTTATAGTTGGAATTATAAATAATTCCCCTCCTTCCCTCTTTTTTTAGAATTAACCCAAAAATAACTACATAAATTCTCTAATTTAAAAATTTTTTTTATTTAATTTAAATTATTTAAAAACTTTTTTCTCGTTTTTAATTGTTAAATAATTTTATATTTATATGTACATACATGTATCTTTTTCTTTAATTTTAAATTTGTTGTTAGCCTTTCGATGTTTTTGCGCATTTTAGAGCAGTTTAGCGCTCCTCCTCTCTTTTGTTGAAATGACGCGGTTAACAATGTGCCATGCCATTTGACGTATTTTATCCTCACACTTCCTTTCTCTGAAGGATTCTTTTCTTTTTAATTTTTAGAAATATTTTTTGTTAGTATCTTTGTAAAAATATTTTTATGAAAATTTAAATTTTCTATAATATTAACAGATTTTTTTGAAATTTATATATAAATTAATTTAATTATTATTTGCAAAAATTTTCTATCATCTTGTTTATTTATTTCATAAGCTTTTGACTTAATTAAATTACTAAATATTATTCATAATATGTTGTTGTCAATCCTAATATAATTTTTATTTTTCTCTCCTTTCTATTTATTTTTTCCCTCCTTTTCATTAGAAATATTTTTTTATTTTTCTCCTAAAATTTTTCTAAAAATTTTTTTATTTTCAGTATTTATTACGTTCTTCAACTGATATTTCCCTCTGTGAGCAATTTTCCTGTCTGAGTTCTCGGCTTCGCGCTGTTCCAGCCCTTTTCACTGTTGTTGAGGAAGCACAGCAACCAATAAAAATTTGTGACGAACGTAACACTGTGAGGAGGATTTTAAAAATTAATTTAAAAATATTTATTGTTTGCAGGTTCAATACGTAAACAAAGCTTTCGAAATGCTTACGGGTAGAAATCGAGCTGTTTTGTTGGGGTCTGATGGTTCTAATGAATTTGGGGGAGGAGGTACTGGAAAATTATATTTTAATTTGTTTAATTCTCCTTTGACTAAATTTTGCAATAAATAATATTTAAAGTTTTTAAAGAGATTCTTAGTCATCCAAAAATTTAATTTAAAATATTTTCAAAAATTTTTTATAAAAATTAATTTTAAGCTCAAAGAAACCATCATCATAGAGAACAACAACTACTTCCCAATCATATAGCAACAGCTACAATAACGGCAAGTGCCACAGCAGCAGTAGCCCCCTCCTCTATATCTTGGAGTACTTCACTTCCCCCTCCTCATCCCCCTCACCTTCCCACACATCCCCCTCCTGTAATGACGGTTACAGGAACACCTCCAATAGCTAGAGCAGAAAGTATTTGTGAGGAAATTTTGGAAAGAAATACAAATAGTCCAACATTTCCTTTAAATGCTACGAGAAGAAGATCATCAGATTGGCAATGTATTGCTGTACCTACAAGTTCGAAAAGGTGAAAATTAGTTTTTAAAAGAAAATAATTTTTTATGTTTATAATGATGATTAGGAATGCCTATTTAGGGTTGGGTATTTTTTTAATAAAAAAACTTCCCGAGTATTAGAGAATATTTTTTAAATTTTTTGGATTGTTTGTTGCATTTCCTACTACGTTTAGTTAATTTTTTTAGATTAATTAATTTTTTAATAAATCCATCATAATTTTTATTTACAGCCATCATCAATATATTTATGTAAAGCGAGGAAGTGCTGATGGTAAAATTATTTAAATATTTTTTAAAAATTTTTGAAAAAGTTTTAAAAAATTTTTATTTTTTATGAATCATTTTTTTTATTATTTTCTCATGAAAGAGAAACATTATTATTTTTTAAAAGATGATTTTTATGAATGGGCATTTTTATAATATTTGTTTAAAATAATATTTAAATTGGCAATAAAAATGAGAAGGAATGGGGGACTGTAAAAAAGTTTAAAAAAATTTTAGAAAAAATTATTTTTTGTCTAAAATAAAAAATTATTTCTTTAAAATTATTTAAAGGTATTCAATGCATTATTATTTATTTTCAGCTGCTTTCTTTCGTAATGAAAAAGGCGGACGTTCTTCTAATGCTGCACTTGTTGATGCGCCTATTACTGAGGTAATTTTTTTAAATTATTATTTTTTTCCAAATTTAAATTAATATATTTTGAGGGAAAATTAAAGTCCTCCTAAATATTCAAAAAAAAGATTATCCAAAAATAGATAAGGGCTTGAGGGGTTATTTAATGTTTGTTGACTTAGCCCTCTTCAAATTTAATTTAAATATAAAAATTTGTGGAGATTTTTCTAGATTTTCTCTTTCAAATAATTTTTATTTTTTAAATTATTTTTAGGCATTAAATGCTTTAGCGAGTATATTCCACCGTTGTGATGAAGAAACTCAAATACAATTACGAGAAGCAATGCGTATTCTTTCTTCTTCAGAACTTTATACTCCAACAATTACTCGTTTTAGAGAAAATGATAGAATAGCTAGTGGATACTATGATGGATTAATTAGGGTAAATAAATAAATATTTTTTATTCAAATGTTTTATTTGGCCTCAGAACTTCAAAATTACTGTTAAAACATTAGTCTTCCCAACTCGTCTAAAATCTGTCAAATCTTAATTTTTCAGTTACACCATCCAACTCGCCAACGTAAACGTTCTGTAGTAGAAGCATATCGTGACCATCAACAACGTAGAGCATCTAGCGGTAGTTGTATTAGTGGATTAACAACATTAGGAGTAGGGGGAGGAGGAGGAGGAACTTCTTTACAAGAACAAAAACAAAATTTAAAACGTCTTCACAAAAATGGAGAAGAAGAAAAGGAAGAAGAGGAGGAAGAAGAAGGAACAAATAATTTATTAGAAAATATTATTTTTAAACAAAAAGGGAGGAGAGTGTCAGCAGAAATATTTAAAGTTTTGGAGAAAGAACATTGCTGGGATTTTGATGTTATTGAATTAGAAAGGGTTACAGATTCACATCCTCTGGCTAATTTAGGGTTTAAAGTTTTTGAGAGATGGAGTGTTTGTGAAGCTTTACATTGCTCTTCTGATGTGTATGTTCTTTTAAATTAACAAAAAATATTTTCTTTTTTTTTTAATTGAACCAAAAAAACGAAAACAAAAGAGAGAATAATTAAATATTATAGGTTAACAAAGAATATTAGATTGATAAAAAATATTAAAACTGATTAAAAAATATTTAGAAATTTTGTCAAATATTTTTTGATACCGTATTCACTCGATTAATTCACCTGGGGAATTATTTTTCAACCCACCCGTGAGATAGGGATTATTCGAGCAAATACGATATTTTAAATATTCTTATTACTAAAGTAAAAATTTTTTATTGGATTTATACATATATAATAGCATTCAACAAAACTTTAAGTAAAATTTTAAAAACAGATTACATAAATGGTTAACAATAATCGAAGCTAATTATCAATCTGGCAACGCTTATCACAATGCTACACACGCTGCTGATGTATTACAAGCAACTTCTTATTTTCTTTCTTCTGATCCAGTAAATTCTAAAAATTTATTTGGAAAATATTTTTTATTTTTTAAAAGGTTGGTCAATTAATTCAAGATAATCATGCATTAGCAGCATTAATTGCAGCAACAGTTCATGATTTAGACCATCCTGGGAGAGGAAATGCTTTTTTAATGAATACTAGACAACGATTAGCTATTTTATATAATGACCATTCTATTTTAGAAAATCATCACGTAAATTTTTTTATTTGAGAATTATTTTATTTTAAGTTATCGAGTTGAGACTCTAATGAACTCATCTGACATATACCTAAAAGTCAAATGTATAGACATGAGTAGAGTAACTTACTCTGTGCTCTCTAACTTTGTCTTTAATTCTTAATATCTAGTCAACTTTTTAACACCATAAATTTAATTATAATAAAAAATCCAGCCGGCTAACATAAAAACACTTTGATCCTTTCTTTGCCCTTATCTCCTATTTATTGCTTATATTCAGATAGTTCCGATTAAACGAAACTTTAATTTAAATTTCAAGGTAGCATTAGCCTTTCAATTAACACTTTCTCAACCCGGCGTTAACATTTTTGCCCAGATGCCACGTGATGATTTTGTTCAAATGCGTCAATCAGTTATTGATATGGTTTTGGCAACAGATATGAGTAGACATTTTGAACATTTGGCTAAATTTCAACAATTAATGGCTATACTTCCTGGAAATGCTGAAGAAGAAGCAGAACAGGAAGAAGAGGAGGATAGGGATACAAATTCAATGATTATTTGTAGAATGGTAAGGGAGGGGGTTAAAATTAGATAATGGAAATAAATAAAGGAGGGAATAAGTCTTAGAGAATGAGAATCTTATTAAAATTTGGGGCATTAATTCTTAAGTAAAAGACATTAAAAAAACTTTAAGGGAAATTATACTTGTACATAAATATTACTGTTAAATGAAAGGACTTTCCCTTCCCCTAAATCAAAAATAATTTTTAAAAATTAAAAGATGGTTAAATGTGCGGATATTGCCAATCCAACACGAGAATGGAGATTATGTCATGAATGGGCTTTACGTATTGTACAAGAATATTTTGATCAAACAGCAGAGGAAGTTGAAAGAAAATTACCTGTTACAATGAAAGGATTTGATAGAGAAACTTGTAATGTTCCTTTGACACAGGTGTGTGTGTGTTTGTGTGTGAATAAGGGCGGGATTAACTTTCTCTGTCTCAGTTTTTCTTAGATACAGGCTCTTTTAAAAATAAAGACAATATTAAAATTGCCAAACAATCCTTCAAATTAAAACTCCTCCCCGTCTAAGAAAATTATTTTAATTTTTTAATTTAAGTGTACATTTGTTGATATGTTTGCCAGAGAAACATTTACTGGATGGTGCGAATTTGCTGCCTTACCTCACTTGTTAACTCGTTTAGAGGAAAATTATGAAAGATGGAAAACACAAGCTTCTGATTGGGAACCACAACGAAATAACGATAATGCTAATTTACTTGCTTTGAGAGAAAAGCAATGGAGAAGAATAAGTAGTGGTGATAAACAATAATTAATTTAATTAACTAATTTTTTAGAGTTTCTTTTTGTTTATTTTTTTAGAAATTCAATTCTGAGTTAGTTCAGGGTTTCCCTAATCGAGATGGGGATTTGATAGAGTCATGCCTTCTTTCAAAATCCTTCGGACATAATTCAAAATCTTCTCTGATGGAATTCCTTTTAACATTTCCCCTCAACAAAAAAAATTCACCCTCCACAAATTTTACTTTTGTAAATTAAACAAAAAGAAACACAAAAACCCCTTTACAATTTTTGCATAATATTCTCAATAAATATCAAAGAGCATTTTTTGTTAGCCTCTTAATTTCCCACTCAATGCATTTCTTTGTATTCTTTATTTACCTTTACACAATAATTGATATTTCTTTTATTTTTTAATTCCTTATTTTTCTTTTGCTTCTTCCCAGAAGTTAGTCGCCATCTCCCCTTTTTTATCTTTTAAAAAATTTGGAATTTTTTCTGAATTTTTGTGCAATTATTTTTCTGTGCTCTATCATTTACTCTCACTATTTCTTACTCTGCTTTATTTTTATCAACTATATTAAACAGATATGTTTTTGGCTGTTTTGATTTATGTATCATTAAAAAAATAATTAGAAAATGCATAAATTTAATTGCTCATAAAAATTATTTTATTTTAGTATAATTAGTCGGTTAATACTAACATCCAATTTATCTATCTACCCTCCTGTTTTTTTTTGAATTTCCCGTTTCCGTGAGATCAATCAGTTACGCTTTCTCATTAATTCTTTTATTTAAACTAATGTAGCTCCCCGAGACTTCGGGGCGGGATCGACGGAGATCGGGGTTTGCCAGGGTAGCGGGATTTTTGTCAAAAAAATCGTCGGGGTCAGGGAACTACCCTAAACCGATTAAACTCATTATAATTAATTAATTAAAAACTCAATATCAATATCCAATTTTATCAAGTTTAAAACAAAACAAAATATCTTAACCATTTAGTCTTCCATAGGAAAGTCAATACAAATTTAGAAAAAAAAGAAAAAAATTAACCAAATATAATCAACATTATAAACCAAAATTAACATATAAATTTTCTTAATCATTTCCCTTCCTCCTTTATTTTCATCCACATCAATTTATATATATTTAACGAAAATTATATTTGACATAAGGAATCTAAAATTATAAAAAAATTATTTAAAAATTCCAATTCTAAAGTTTTTACCTCGACATCCTCGTCCTTATCATTTTGAGTAATTGCCTCAAATACAAGTGAACGACGAAATGGAGGAACTTTATTACGAGACACTTCCTCCACCACTTGAATAACACTAAAAAATTAAAAATTAGAATAAACTTAAACAAATTCAAGAATATAATGGTGCAAAGATTTAAGTATTACTGAACTCCCAAACATAATGAGGGGATTATAAAAAGGTCTAATTAATGGAATAAATAAATTAAAAATCATAGATCCCCCTTCTTTAAACCCTAACAATAAAATTAAAAATTAAACTTACTCTCTGGTTTTACGTTCAGCAACTTTACCAGGTGGCTGGAAAAAAGCATAAAGAAGCGAAACACCGGAAGACATCATTGAGACGGTTAATCCAGTTTGTGTCTAAATTCATTCTTTTGAATAAAAATTTAATTATTTACAACCTCAATCCATTCAATAAACTGTCCAAGTGTTTTAGGACCATTTACTTCCAATCTATCCCAAAGAGTAAATTCAATATCACGATACTAAAATATTTAAACTGAATTTTTTATTTTCAAAAACCTTCTTTTTTGTTGCTTTTCCAGGTTCACTGAAAGCAATAAATGGAGTTGCTAGGTTAAGAAAAGCATTCTTAAAACGTTCAATGGGTGCCTTTGAACGTTGTCCTTCAACCTCAATAGTCTAAAAAATAGATAAAATATAACTTCTTAAAATAAAAAAAAAACCTTATAAAGTTCTATACAAACAAGTCCAGCAACAACTGAAGTCGTTGTAGCCAATGCAGGAATAATTTTACCGGCAATTTGTTTTGTCTTAAAAGATTTTTTCTTTCTTTAAAAATTAAAAAAACCTTCATTCTATCAGCCTTCTCAATCGTATAATTTTCTGCACGCAAGTTTGAAGCTGCAGTAATGAAGTCAATATGATGATTTGTGTCATCATCCTTCTCAAAATCGATTGGAGTTAAACGGCGAATAGTGTCAATTTTTAAACGAGCCAAATTCATATTTAAAGTATCAAGAAGCTTTTCACTGTCATCTAAAATAAAGCAGAAAATAAAAAATAACACCATAATCTAATAATCTACGGAAAAATAAGAAAACCTCCTTCAGGGCCAGCTTCATCGTTAGCAGCAGCCTCTGCATCCGTAACTGCAATCTTAATGCCTTCTCTCGGTTTGAATTCTGGTGATATGATGGCGCGAGCAAGATGAGCAACTTTGATAGGGTCATTAATTGGTTCAATATTATAAAGTTGTGCTCGTAGAAAAGCCGCTGAATAAACAAATTCCAAATGTTCGGGCTAAAATTTTATGAAAATTAAAAAATGAAATTTTATACAAATACATTGTCAACGTCAAAATTCAATGGATGGGGACAACGTTTAGTTCCTGACCAAAACTTTTGTCCTTGAGAAGTAACCTAAAAATAGGAATTTGAATCGTTTTAGAAAATAAATAACCTGATCAGGAGGAAAATTGTGCAAAAGTTGCATAATCTCATTCCTATAAAGCGAATCAAACAAATCGCGTGCCCATTTGACACAATCTTCAGCACTGCTTGGGCATTCATCAATTAAAGCTTTATTTAATGCACGCAGTAATTCAATCTAAATTAATCATTATTCGAATACCGGTATTTAATTAAAACCTTTTGAGAAACGGTCATTTGTTGAAGACGGCCAAGAAAACCATTGACATCATCCAAATATTGATTAGCTGTTTCTGCAACAGAGGTAAAATGATCAGCAAATTTCTAAATTGAATAATAAATTCAAAATGTTTTTAATTTTAAAAATACCGATCGAGCCCATTGAATCGTATGCTGAATTTGATATGGGAAATTCTTGAGTGTACAAACAGGTGTTTCTGATTCGGGCGGATCAGAAGTCGAACTAAAGGTATAATTATATATAAATATAAAAATCCCCTTTTTAATGTTCAGCGCATCCGGTTGACTGTTTGTTAGAAATACGAATTTTTATGTTTTGTATTAATTTCAAAAGGAAAATCAGGCTCGTGTCCAGTAAAAAATCCGGATGAACCCAGAAAACTTCCAAACATTATTCTTCATTAAAAATACCCGTATGATTCAGTTAAGTGTGGGAAAACCACTTGAGTATTTCCTTTGGCTCCCATTGTTCCAGATTCAAGCAATGGCAGCTGATAATAAACGCAACGACGATCAACATAGCGACCTAAAATCAAAGAAGTTTAATACAATTATAATTCTAAAAACATACGAGCTTCAACATTATCCAAAGCATTACAAACACCATTTAATTGATTGAAAAAGTCATCGTTGAAAACACTCTCTGTTGCCTCAGAAACAATGTCAGAAAGAGCTTGGACGTTAACTGCTGGGTTGAATTGCTTCATAGAACGAGCAGCAACTTCAGATTTCTTTTTCTGTAAAACTCAATTTTTAATTCACCTAAAGATATAAAGATTACCCCAACATCAGGTCGACGAAAGAGGAATTGTCTATTCAAGTTAGAAACTTCAATAGTATCTGGATCTGTAACTTTAAGTAGACCACCATTACCCGCTGCCAATCCCATCATAGCCATATTTTTAAAAAGTTCACAACCAATGGCACCTGCGCCAACAATAAACCAATTTTGTTTAGATAATGCTGCTTGGAATGCCCATCCAAAAACAGCTGCTTGACCGTCATAACGAGTTTGGCGCTTAAATTTAAAAAATTAAAAAACAAAACGATTCAAAATTGATAAATTCTACATACCGGTTCACAATCCTTTTCAGTCAATTTACCAGCATCAAAGCTAGAGTAATCACCAGGAAGTGCTTCACACGAGTCTGTATATAAAAATTGTTTTAAAGGTGTTGTGTGATGAGTGACAGCTTTAAATGCCTCTTGAGCAACAAATCCACCAATAACAGAAGCGACAGGTTGAAGATTTCCAGTAGCCTACAAACAGAGTTAAACAAAAAATAATAGATTCAGAACCTGATAAGAAAAATTGAGCAGCAAATGTTCAGGTATCTCTGCAGTTCCCGTCCCTTCAAGTTCAGCTTTAAACAATTCTGCATCCTTTTTGGAACGAGGTTTTGGCGAACGCTTGTGCTGAAGAAAAGAGCCATTAAATGCCAAAAGTTACAAAAACAAAACCTTTTTCTCAAATTTGTAGAGTGCTTGCCAGAGACGGTGGAGGTGTTCTGGACCATCAAATTTAGCAAAATCCCAAATCATAAATTCTGGGGACTTTAGTGCTTCGGCAAGAGATTTAAATTCAATAAATTTCGGCATTTTAACTTTGCGAGCCCTTCCTCGAGAAATTGGGCCATCAATGACTGATGAGAAGACCGAAAGAGCTTTGCCAACATTAATTATATGACCTTCTATAAATTCACAAATCAGATATAGATATATTCAATTAATTAATTCAAACATACTTGCAGTTGTCTTTACTGGCGTTGGTGTCAATTTATTAAGTTCTGCAATCTCAAAATCCTCAAAAACAATATGATCTCCATCTTCCAATCCGTGATAAGCCTTGTCGAGAGTAAATATTTCACCAGTCTCACAATTAACATGCTCGAGTAATACTTCGTTATAAGTTTCACCATCAACATCATGCACAGCAAATTTCTCACCAAGATCAACAAAAGCATAGGAAAAAAGACCTCTGGCATCGGCAGAAATGAACAGCTTTCCATGTTTCCGCATCCAGTTATTAATTTTGATTTGCTCTTCCCAAGGTGAATCAGTAACGATAACTAACTATAAATGGTAAGTGAATCATTTCTTAAAGTAAAAGGAAAGTAAAGCAAAGTAAATTTTGCCCATAATTATTACAATTCTCAAAACATCCTACGTGACCCAAAATTATTAATTTTTATAACAAACATCAAACTGTTTCACAAATTCCTCATTCAATGCTTCTGTGTGAAGAACGCAAGTGACGGTATCATTCAATTCGGCCAACTTTGTGAAAGCGATTTTGGCACGATTCTCACCCACCATTGACTCGTCAGCATAAAAGCACGCTGATAAATCCCCAAAAGTCAAAAGTTTTTGGTCATGTAGAGTTACGTGACGAACGCCACCTTAACGTAATTTATTAATGCTGTTAATTATAAACTAGAAAGAGCAAGTCCCTGCCTATCAGATATAATCTGGTCTTATCTAAAGTTCGGAAATAGGATAACATTTTATCGTCAACGAAGAAACAAAAAAAATTTGGATATATTGAGGTAAAGGAAAGCCAGGTACAAGCCATAAATTAAATAAAAAAAATTAAAAATTTCATACCAAGGATAACATTTTTGGCAATTTCAAGACCTACGGATCCAATACCACTGATCAAAACCGAAGCCTTGCGTAAATGAGTCATGGCAGATTCGCCCAAAGCATAACTAAAATAAAAGTCTTGGGGATTAATTTAATGATTTTACATTTGACGCGAATAAAGATTTGTGTCCACAGAATTGTCAGCAGAGTTTGGACCATTTGCATTTCCCCCTGTTTGATTTGAATTATTCTGATTATTTTCAGAAGCCGGCATTATTTTTCCGTTTCTTTGAGACTAAAATTAATTTTTAGAAAATATTTAAAATTACTTAAAAAACATACACAAATAGAAGAATTTCCACAACGAGTAATTTTTATTGCTGGTTCTTCGTCAAATATAGGTCTTGTATGCTTCATAAACCTAATAAAGAAGAAAATATTAAAGTGATTGGTCAAAATTTTTTTTAAAAAATTGATAAAAACAAGCACGAAAACAACAGAAAAAATAAAAAATCAAGGACAAATATTTAATAAATTTTAAAAGTTTAAAGAATCATCGTTTTCTTGGCATTATGTATTTTTTGTTTTACTGTTGGAATGGACAGTTGAGTCTTGTCAAAAGCTTTTGTTTCCAATGGATTAAAGAAATCTCTGGAAATTTTCTTACAATTTTATTATTTTTTCCTTTTCATTTTAAATGTTTTTTTTTCAGATTTTTATTGTTTATATTTTAAAATTAAATGAATAAAATGGATGACCAATTGGCCGAATGCCGGGAGGTTTAAAAATTTAATTTTTATTCAATTAAAAATCTTTTTTTTCTCTAGATTTTTTGTTATTTTGACTCAAAAGGAGATGAAAAAATAAATGTTAAACAAGTTGGTAAGTTAAAAAAGAAGAGTTTTTGTTTAATTGAAAATTTAAATATTTGTTAGGTGATGTACTTCGAGCTTTAGGTCAAAATCCAACTGAGGCTGAGATTCACAAATGTTGTGAAAATTGGACTAATCCTGGTATTTTTAAATAAATTTTATTATTTTTTGTAATGAAATTTCTTTTAGAGGCGCGTATTTCTTTTGAAGAATTTGTTCCCATCTATCAAGCAGTCAGCAAAAATTCGGGACAATTTACTAAAGAACAATTCGTTGAAGGACTTTCTCATTTTGATCGAGAAGGAAATGGGACTATTGCTGTGGCTGAGGTTTTTTGTTTTTATTTGAAAAAATTTTGAAATTCTAGTTAAAACATTTGTTGACAACTTTGGGGGAACGTCTTAGCGATGAGGAAGTTGAGCAACTTTTGGCTGGTCATGAGGTCGCTAATGGTGGTTATGTTAATATTGAATCTTTTGTTGAGGCTATTATTCACCGGTAAATAGTGAAATAAAAAACTAATAATTTTTGAAATATAACCAGAATTTGGGGATAAGTTTAATATTAGAACAAATAATTAGGAATTTTGAACTTTATTGGACCTTTTTCATTTTTCCCTCTTTTATTTTCATGGAAGGCGAGCCTGACCTAAATGTGGAGGCAGAATATTATCCCAACAAACTACCCTAAACAAATATCCAAAGTTAATCCCTGTTAATTAATTTAGTTGTCAAAGATAAATCAAACAATAAAGTTAAAAATTCTAAAGATTATTTAAACTAATAGAATGCAAGATTATTTTATTAGAATATAAACTTGAATGAAACTAAAATTCCCAAAATTAGTTTTTTTCCAGATAAAATGAAAATTTCGCAATGAGTTTTCTGGTTATATTTCAAAAAATTTGACTTTTTTTAAAATCATTTTGAAATACTAAAATTTTTTTGGTAGTTCCCCAACTTCTAACAATAATTTTTTATTTACAATTTTATCCTCTTTCATAACTTCCATTCCCTTCTTGCCAATTAAATTTTTGCGTGCATTAACATAAAATTATATTAATTTTCTCCAATCTAATTAAAACTAGCAAAGGACTAAAATTAATTTTTTTAGTAATTTAAATGATTAATGTTATTCAATAATAACTTGAATAAATTTATTTTTTTAGTCTTTTGCTTTTCTATTCATTTTACCATTAATATTTTAAAAATATTCCCCATATTCTCTAATAATTTTTACAGAGATCCTATCGAGGCATTTTCTTCGTCCGCGGTGCTATTATCTAATCAAAGTGGACGAAGTTTTATTTAAATAATGAGCATTTACTTATTAAATTGTAAACTCTATTATAGGGGCAATTATTTAAATTAAATTATTTTCTTTTTTTATTGTAAAAGTATTTAAATATTTTGATGCCAATTCATTTTAAATATATTTATTTGATTTAATAAATTTTATGGGGAAAAGTTTTTAATTAAAGTATTTGTTATTCTAAAAGAGTCACTTCCTTTGGGTCTTTAGAAAAACTAAAATTTATAGGGCACAGTTAGCTCACATAGATTTTATACGGACTTTTTCATTTGTTTTCTAATTTATACTTTTGATTTACTAGTTTCTTACGGAATTACTAGAGATATATACGTTGCTATTGGATATTCATTTTGGTCAAAGATGCTTGTCACCGGCCTCCGAAATTTTATCTTATTTAAATGCCAATATCCCTTTGAAACGTTAAAAATTTTCTAGTTTATTTGAAAATTTTCAGTCATTAGTACACATTACTATACATGTAATTTTCTGTCATTACTATACATGTAATTCTAATATAAAAAATTAATTTTCATTTTCTCCTTTTCCCAACAAAATTAAATTCATATAAGCACTTCCACCATTATTATTTTGTTTACATTCCATTCTTTTTGTCTCAAGAACATTTTTTTGTTTTTGAATTTCTTCGCAAAGTTTTTGTAAATTATCATATTCTCCTCCACTTTCTGAAGATTGATTGTTACTGCTATTTGAATGTTTTTCCTCTTCAAAGTCAATTTCTTCCTTCTCTTGAAAATTTATTGGATTTAATTTTTTATAAATTAAATTTAAGTGAAGGATTCCTTTTAAAAAAATTTAGGGATTCTCCTTAACATGTTTACAAAAAATCTGAACAATTTACTTATATAAGGAAACAATCAGGCCTGGTAAATCCTAAGCCATCAAGATTTGACAAATAATTTACGAAAACTCTAATTAAAAAAAACAATTTACCAATTTCTTTTGTTGCCCTTTTGATTTGTGGAGTAGAATATAAACGTGGAATTCGAGAAAGTGATGGGCTTGCAATTGAAGGTATTGGGGATAAAGGTAATAAATAATTATGTTGATTGGTTATATTATTATTATTTTCTTTTATTGTCAAAGATTTGTTGTCAAATGGATCATCTTCTTTGTTATAAAAATATTCAAGCGGTGTACTTTCATTTTCCTGTTTTTTTTTGAAAATTTATTACAAAGGGAAAAAATTTAAAAATTTTTTTTATGTTAAACAAAAAAAGAGTATTTTTTGGAAATAAAAATCTTATTTTGTGTGTTTTCAGTTAGTTTTAAGAAAGGCCATTAAAATTACTAAAATAATTTACAAACAAATTTAATTTTTAATTGTTTTTTTTCAAACAAAAAGTTTTTTGGATTTCTCCTTAATTTACCTTTTTTTTAAATAATTTTGATTAACTCAAACCTCTCCTACCTTTTCATTTAAATTTATAGAATTATTCTCAATTTTTTCTTTTTCTTCAAATTTTATAATATTTTTTCTTCTCTTTGATAATTTTCTCTTTTCTTTTATTAAAAATAAACTTAAAATAATTATAATTAATAAAAGAAATGCAATAAGAGAAGTTAAACAAATTGTTGAAATTGGCAAAAAAGTTGAGTTAACTTATAAATTTAATTTTTAATTTAATTTAATATTTCTCACAAAAAACTCCATTTCCAACCCATTGCTCGCAATAACGTCCGCCATATTTGTCGGGACATCTGTCAATGAAAATATAAAGGAATTATTTGGATCTAGTAAGAATTATTTGGACCCGGTCCGAAGGATCGAGTCGGGCATCGAGTTTTGGCGCAAAAAAGACTCGGTCGGTCGATCCGGTCCGATAAAAATGATTCGAACGTCGGCCCGACTCGAAGACCTCAACCCTAACAAACATTTTAATTTTTAGCCAAAGTTTTTGGTAGTTCTCTAATTGAGAACTATTTTTATAAAGGATACATTATTTAATTTTTAAATTCATTCTTTTTAATTTCAAACAAAAAACAACAACTTACAAACAAAATCTACTTCCATTATTATTCATTTCCAAACACAACCCCCCATTTTTACATTTATTATTTTTATTTTCACAAGGAATTGTCCCAATTTTTGGTGTCATCTTTAATGTTCTTTGATATATTAAATTTTTATTTGTTATCTGTGGAAAATGTCTTCTTCCTTTTCTTAATAATTTAGCTTCATCAGGGAATATTTCAGCAGAACAATGGAAGAGAATTGGCTTTTTGTTGATATTTTGTTTATTATTAGTAGTTAATTTTTTATTTTCTTCTTCCCAAGGAATAAATTCATAAGCAATACTTGAGTTAAGAATTTAAAAAAATTATATATTTTTCGGAATTAATTGTAATTATAATAATATTTTTTTCGAGAAATGAGAGATTAAAGTATTTCCTTTTTTGATTGAAAACAAAAAAGATTAAGAGATATTATACTAAACAAAATTGTCGATAACAATTTTCTAATAAATCCTCAAATTTAATTTAATTTTTCATTTAATTTAAAAATATTCTCCGCAAACCTTCCACCACTTTCTTCTTCAATTATTCCAACTTTTTTTCCATTTTTGTGTAAAAGTAAAGTACTCGGAATAAAAGCCCTTCTAGATTCTTCTCCAATTGCACATCTAACAATACATTTTTCTTCTCCCCAAACTGTAGCTGAACGTAAAGAAGCACTCGAAGATTCGTCTGAATTAAGTAATAATTCAAAGATTGGGGGAACTTGTTGTTGGGTTTCTCTTTTTATTGTTGTCGATGTTGATAATGTTTTCTGTTTATTATTTTGAATTATAAATTCATCTCCAATATTTTCGTTATTATTTTCTCCCATTTTTTGTAAAAATTAAAATCCGTTTGTTTTACTAAAGCAATAATTATATTTATAAAAAGCAATATATTGTGAGATTTTAGTTTGAAACTTTATAACGTAATAAAATTTTTTACTTATGATTAGGTTGGCATTTTTTACGATGGCATTTTTACACTGAGTTAGAACTCTTTAGATTCGAAAAATTTTATGAATATCTTTGGAAAAAATATTTACTAAAAATTAATTTGAAAGTCTTGCACCAAAATTAAATTATTTAACATTCGCCCTTGCAAGTTTTAATTTATTTATTGATTATCGAAAAATGGAAAAAATTTACTTTTGTGTGGTCAGTTATCTAAATATATTTTTAAAAACAAATCCTTTAAAACTTTTAATGCGCGAAAAGTAGTAATGCTCTGATTACGTTTTTGTTTTTAATTCTCGAACACACAAAGAGAAGAGACAACAAAAATATTTACAAAAAATGATTTTTCTTTTTACATTTTTTTGTAGAAAAAGGAAAGATTTACTACTAAACAAGATATATTCTCTTCTCCTTCTTCTTTATTGTCCACTTCTAACAAATTATTTTAAACAAAAGACAAGAAAATTAAAGAAAATATTTTTTTTCTTAGCTTTTTACCACAAAATATATAGTTTCTAATCAGCAAAAAATGGCCAAAAAAAACATGAAATAAACAAAAAAATGTATAAATAAAAGATTTGTGTAAATAATTAAATACCTGTTTAAAAGATATGTCGAAGATAAATATTAATTAGTTAAATGAAAATAATTTGGCTAGAAACAGATATGGAGAAAGCAATTTTTTAATTTCTTAGTAAGCTTTAGTTTTTTGGTAGTATATCAAATTAATTTTTAATTTTCTTCCTTCCTAGTTTATCCTTTACTTATTGATAAAGACACTTATTGCCAAATTAAGTGTTTGTGGGTCTAAACGTTCGCATCTGATTTAGGTGAATTTAAATTAATTTTATCGAATTTTCTAAATAATAAAGAAGGGAAAACAAACAAAACTTCATTTGTACGTTACTTCCACTTTAAAGTGAGATTTTTTCTGCATGAGAATTGACTTAGAACTAAGGTCCGATAAAGATATTTAGAGTTATTAATATTTATTTATACATTTAAAAATAAATTTCAATAAAATTCATTAAGAATAAAATGTCTTGTAATATCATAACTAAAAGGTTTAGCTTTTAAATCTTGTCCAAAGTTTGTATCTACAGAAAAACATTTCAGTGTAACAAAAGGTTTAAGCACTAAATCAAAATTCTCTTTCAAATGCACAGCTTTACCTTAAAAGATAATTTCTTTAAATAATTTTTATTTTCCTTCAAACCAATTTGTTTCCCATTTTGTGTGAAGAAAATATATGGAAATTCTTCAGACATTCTATTATTTGGTGGATATACTAATCCACATCCATAAACATCAGCAGAACCTCGACTTAATGTTACTGTAAATTCTTCATCTTTTTCATTTTTAATTAAAGATTTATTTGTAATAAATCTAACACGCTTGGTCCCATCTGTAAGTCCAATAATTGCAAAACTTTGACTCAAATTCCTAGCTTCAGTAATTTGGCATTTAATTTCGAAATAGAACAGAGAATAATTAATGCAGTTTTGGGGCTTTTCAAATTTATTTTCAGCAATTACTCTGCCACTTTTATCATGACCTAAAAAAAAATTAAAATTTATTTGATATTATTGGAAAAAATCATTTCCTAGTCCAGAAACTGGGACAGGTACATACATAATAACCCGATCAACAAGTAACTTGGAAATTCTGAAAAAAACCCGGATTTAGGACCCAAACTCGAAAAAACCAACGAATCTGATTAAAAGAAAATTAAACTTTAAAAATAATTTACCTCCTCCCGAAACAGAATTAATATATCTAATATTTATATCGCTAGTTATATTAACAAAACCATTTTGTTTAACACAATTTCCAGTAACCTTATTTGTATTTATACATTTCTTTTCACAACAATTATAAAAATCATTGTCATTACTTGTATCATTTAAATTAAAAATTTCCTTCCATTTATTTTTAATTTGCATAAAATTCTAAAAATAAATAATTTAAATTTAAATTTAATTAAAAACTAACCACAAATTTACAAGTAAATTTAAAAAACTGTCCCAATTTAATTGTCATCTCCTCAATCTTTTTCCCAAATAATTCATTCATCTTTTAATTAATTAATTTATTTCATTAAAATTAATTTTTCAAAAAATACTTTTTTAATTTCTTCTTCAGATAAATTAATTTTCTCCAAAATTTGATTATCTTTAATTTCACCAAATAATTGTTGAAAATTTTGTTTAATTTCTTCTATTTTATTTTCATTCTCAAATTGAATTTTTTTTAATTATCTAAAATTTATTTAAATTATTTGTAATTTTAAATAATTAATTTTGTAATTTTTCTTGGTAATACTTTGGAAGTTGCCCACTCTCCTTTTTCCTATTTTTATTTGTTTTATTTTTTCTCATTTCATGGTAAATTATAGATCATTACTCAGTTCTTCGAGCTGAATCGAATGACACTAAAATCAACGAAATCTGACTTAATTGAACAAAGTTATGACCACTTGATTTAACCTTTTTCTTTAAATTACCTGATTAAATTGTTCTTCCAAAGAAATAATTTTTTCATCTTTTTGTTCAATAATTTGATTTAAATTAGAGATTTGATTAGTCTAAAAATAAATAAATATTTAAATTAAAAATATTATTTTTTTACATTTTCTTTAATTTTTTCATTAATTAATTGTTGTAATTCTTCTTTTAAAATTTTCATTTCATTTTCTAAACATTCATTTTTCTCCTCAATTATTTTCTTCTCATTTTCATTTTTTCCCTTCTCCTCCAAAAATTTATTTTCAATTTCTTTTATTTTATCATCAATTAATTGTTTAAATGTTTGTTTTAATTCTTTAATTTCATTCTCATGATCAGCATTTATTTTTTGAATTTTCTAAAATTTAATTAAATAAATTATTTTTAATTTTATTATTTAATTTAATAATATAAATGTTTATATTTTCTCAATAAATTTTAAACTAAAAATATAATTTTAGCAAAACTTACCTTATTAATTTCATTCTCTAAAGACGAATTTTTCTCTTCAAGTTTAGTAACAAACTTTTCTTTTTCTCCCATAAACTAAAATTAAATTTATTTTAAATTTGTTTTAAAATTATTTTAGAATAAACATGTATTCCAGGGTGTCCCTTTCCAAAACACCAAAATAGGGCGAAGCTACTCAAAAATATGGCAAAAATAGGGCGAAATTGGTCAAAAATAGGGCAAAAAATAGGGCATTGTTTTAAACACTTAAGAATACTTAAAATTTTAAAAAGAAAGCTCTATTATGCATATTTTTCAATATTTTAAACTAAATTTTCAATTAAAAATTTCTTTATCATTAAATACCAACTTGTGACTAATCTATTTTATTGGGGATATCCTCTTTAATCCCAGAATACCGTTAATTGAATTACCCTTAAGAAAGCAAATATCACAGATAATTCAAACATGATATCCCCTAAAACGTACCATCGATTCACGACCAAATCCCCAAATCCCCGTACCATAATCGAAGAATTCTTCCAATTTTCAGCGCCGCAGGCGAAAATTTTTTGAAAGTTGGAGCTCAAAAAGCCAAATTTCATACATTTTTTGCGCCGCAGGCGAAAATTTTGAGAATTTTGGAGGCCAGGAAGTCAGAAATCCTTCATTTTTACCATTTTTTTTTTACAAAATCCGAAGAATTTTTAAAATTTTACTAGATGATAAAAATAGGGCAAAAATATGGCAAATGAGAAAATAGGGAAAAAATAGGGCGAAATTGTCAAAAATAGGGCAAATGCCCTGTAAATAAGGCAAAAGGGACACCCTGATGTATTCTCATCATATGTTTGAGAAAATGCCCAAAATTATCACGACTACACAGCCGAGTTATAAGTTCCCGAAAATTCAAAAACTTGAATCCGATCAAATTTACTTTCGATTCAATCGTCGAGCTCTCTCGAATAGCATATGTAAATCATACACGGACCCGGAGATAATTACGACCTACCACTGCTCTCTAAATAAATAAAATCTTCCCTTCACACCTGATTAATTTCTTTTGTCAAAATTTTCATATCATTCTGAACATTAATATTTTTCTCTTCAAGTAAAGAAGTCTTTTTCATTTCTTCCATAAATTTAAATTGAATATTGTTAAAATTCGATTGAAGTTGAATTATGTTATCATTCTGTTTAAGTACAAAATGCTGGAAAAATTTCAAAAAAATTATTTATTTTATTTAAATATAAATTTACAAGTGGGTCAAAATCAGAAGTTGAAGATTCTTCTTCAGTCATTTTCAGAATTTAATTTAAAAAAATATTAGAAATATTTATCTAAAAATCAAAATTTTATTAAATTAAGAGTTAATAGAAATATAAAAATATTTTTAATGGAAAATTATTCTTAAATAAAAAATAAATAAATATTTTGTAGAAAGAACATCAAAAGAACTTCAACTTAATAAAGAAAATATTTAAATGGTTGAATAGAACTTTATCAAGTTTACCTAGTAAAAGTACATATTTTCATTCAGGCATTCACTTGCTTTAAGTAAATTTTCCTAACAAATAAATATATTTTTTATTATGTAGCATCAGAAAAAAAATGTATGAGAATATGTTTTGGAGGAATATTTTAAATATTTAATCAAAGATACTGTTATAGATACTGTTATTGTTATTTTAATTAAAAAACCAGAAATTCTTAAATATAAAATCAGAATAAAAGCTTTTTAATTTAAAAAACACAATTATTTATTTAACAATAAAACGTTTAATTCAATTATTTATTTATTTATGTTGCAAAATATTAATATTTTAATCAATCATTTTTATCGGTCCAAATTGATTTTACGAGGTCATTTGGAAGATGATATAGAATAAAAATATAAATAAATAATTGCGCAAACATTCCCCCTCCTAACCATTTATTAATTAAAAATAATCAAAATAATCAAAATAATTAATTTTTTATCCCAAAAATCCTCCTCCTTTTTCCCCTCTTCCACTTTTTCTTCTTCTTCCTCCTCTTCATCCCCTACTTCCTCCTCTTCCTTTCCTTCCCCTTCATTATTTCATTCTTCAAAGTTAATTTATTTAATTAAATTTAAACAAATAATTATTTTAACTATTTTACCCCCTTTATTTGGAATTTTAATTGTTATTGCTTTAGCTATTTTATTCCATTCTGAACAAATTTTTGGATATGAATGGACTTGTGGAGTAAGTAAAATAAAAGGGTTCCCCAGAAAGCAACTCCAAATATTTGGACTATCTAGTATTTGTGCGGATTAGGAAACAATTGTGGGGATTCGAGGGGATTTCGATGCATCTGAGCGGATTAAGAGGGATTTGTTGGGATTAAAGGGGGTTTCTCGTGCAAATGTCGACAGGGCAAAAGTGAGCAGGCCAACGTATTCTTGATCTTTGGTTCCCTTCATCTACTCAAATATTTGGAGGGGACCTCCTGGATTTATCACAAATAAAAATCTGGAAATGAATTCAACAGAGAAAAATTTTTTAAAGAAAATATTATGATCTAAATAATTTTGAATACTATAATACCTATTTAAATCACTAGCTTTCAAGTTTAAAAAATTTTTAGGCTAAATAAAATTCAGTATTATCGAAAAATTACAAACCTTAATTCAAATCCTAATTTTACTTAAACAGAATGGCAAAATATAATTTTTAATGATAAAACTTTCAATTAAAAATTAAATTAAAGATAGCATATTTACCTTCAATTTCACGAATTTTGAATTTACCAGCAGAAAGGATTGTTTGGAATTTCTTAATTCTTCTTCACATACCTTTACGTTTATTAATTATTTTACATATTTTTTGTAAAATTTTTTTAAAATAATTTAAATTAAAATTAATTTATTTTTTAGTTTCCTTTTCAAATCAAAAATTTAAAGAAAATATTCAAATAATTCAAAAAAGTTATGTGAAATTTATTACAAGAAAATGTTTGCCTAAAATTACTCCGAGTGAGTATTTCTTTTATTTATATTTTTAAACTTAGAGTGACAGAGTTTATTCATTTACGAATCAAACTTCTTATCAAAAAATTTATATCTTTCCAGTTTTCTCAAAAATTTTCTACAATCCTTTTAAACATTCCAAATTAGAAGGAAGGATTCAAAAACTTAGGTTGTAAAGGTGTAGTTATAGGGAGAATTAGCAGTTCCTGAAGAACCTTTAGATATCCAAACTTTCTTTAATCTTGAATATCTTTGACCGCTTACACTAATTAAAGGGCAAAAACTTTCATTTTTCCTCTTTCATAAAAACAAAAAAAATTCCAAAAGAATTTTTTTATATTTAAAAATAATAAAATTTAATTTAAAACAGATAAATATTTACAAATTGTCTATTTAATAAGTGGATTATTTGATAATTTATTTCTTTCAAGTTTAAGTGTTGTAGGTGAAAGAGAACATTCAGAATTACACGTTATATTCTTCTCTTTCTATTTATTTTCAATTTTTATTAATTTTTCTGTTCATTTTTATTTAGAATTAAATTTATTAAAAAATAAAAAAAAATCACAAAAATTTCATTTTATTTTTTTATTTTTATTATTTTTATTAATTCCTTTTATTATTTTTTTCTTTTCAATTAATCAACTATATTGTATTAAATTTTCTTATGAAATTTTTGTTTTTATTGAATATTTAATTGTTTTTTGTATTTTTTGTTTTAATTTTTGTATTTTGTTTGAAAATCACAAAAATTGTTTTTTTTATTTTTTTATTAAATAAAGATTTTATTAAAATATTAATTTGTTTAAGAGTGGTTATTATTGTTCGTTAGATAGACCCTTAAATTAATTTGTATCTTACAAAGCTTTAGCTGAGAAAATAATCTGAGCTTTTACAAAATTTCAATTTTCCAATTTTCGTTCTTTATGAGAACCTACAAAAATAATTCTTGTAAAATGTGTAGGGGATGGGGGGTGGGTCTGTTGATATTTTGTTGCCAAAAACAAGTTTCCTGTTTATTTATTTTGATCTGGCTGGCTAGCATAGATGGGGACGAAAATTAGCATATAAATAGCTTTAACTGGCAAAATGATGGATAAAAATTGTTTGGGGAAAGTTACCCTTTGTTTTCTCTTTTAATAAATTTTCTCTTTAACTGAAATCTTTCAGCTTCTTTTTAAAAATAAATAAAATTATTTTAAAATTTATTTTTTTTTAAATATTAAATTAATGAATACTTAGAATTAACTTTAAAAAAAGTATTTTTAGAGTAGTTGAATTAATAATAAAATAAATTTGTTTAGAGTTTCCATGGTATTGTATAAAGCACGAAATGAAAGAATTAATAGTCTATTTAACATCTTAAGATTTATTAAAGACAAAAACTTTTTTTGAAGAAAACTTTAATGGTTATTTAAAGTATTTTTATTTAAAAATAATTTTTATGTAAATAAATGGCTTCCTCTGACGAAGAGGAAGGAGATGAAGGAAGAAATCAACGAAGTGGGGGTGAACAAGCCCTCAAATTAGTTTTGCTTGGTGATAGTGGTGTTGGAAAAACATCGATATGTTCTAGACTTGCTCAACATACTTTTCCACAAAAATATATTCAAGTAAGTAAAAATTAAATGGATTTATGTAGTTTATTTTTGTAGACATCCGGTGTGGATTTTTATTCAAGAAGGGTTCAACTACGTCAACAAAATTCTGTACTTCTTCAGGTATTTTAGAAAAGAAAAATCTTAATAACCGGAAAAAATAAAATAAATTTATTTAAAAGCTTTGGGATGTCGGTGGACATAATCTAGCTTCACCCTCAATGCTCAATACATATATTTTTGGAGCTCATGTAAAAATCTTCAAATTATTTTTTAATTTTACTTATTTTATTTAAAAGGGTGTTCTTTTTGTTTATGATGTAACAAATAGTCAATCATTTGAAAATATTAATGATTGGCTTTCTGCGGCTAAAAAATTAGATAAACAAATGGAAAAGGTTGAGAAAACAAAAAAGATTTAAGAATTTATTTTTCTTTAGCCATTTTATATAGCATTAATTGGTAATAAAGCAGATAGTGAACATCGCCGTTCTGTTAGGCCAGAAAGACATAGCAAATTTGCTGAGCAAACTGGTTTTTTATAATTTTAATTAGAGTTACGCTTTAGCCTTCGGGGAAGAGGTTTCCGGGGTGAGGGAAATTCAAGTGAAATTATTAAAAAAATAAAACAGACTAATTAACCTAACAACCATGCATCCGATAAAATCGTTTTTCTGGGTCCGTAAACTGGACTTTGAATTTCGTACAATACTAATTCAGTCAGGTTTTAATTCGGAAATTATTTTCGGGGAAGCGGCATTACGTCAGGACACAACCTTAACAAATCCCAAAGAGATACACTAGAGGGACTTAAAAATTACAAAAATTATTTCTTAATTAAAAAGGAATGCAATCACATTTCTACTTGTCAGCAAAAAATGATGATTCAATTGAATTGATATTTAGGTAAATTTAAAGAAATATTTTAAAGAAAAAAAATTACAAAAAAATTTTTCTTCTTCGTTTAATAAAATCATAGAATAGAAAAATAGCAACAGAAATTTTGGGAACTAAAATTACGAGGAATGAACTTGAACAAAGTTCTGCTAAACCCCAAACATCTACAACAACAAATGTTGAAGAAAATATTAACAAAAAATCAGAGAAAGATGTGGAAAATGACAAAACAGCACCTAAAGGTATGTAAAGTGAATAACAAAAATGAAGAATTCCCCCTCAAATAAATTTCTTTTTTTGGAAATTTTATTTCAATTTAAATAAGTTTTATTTTTTCCCAAAATTGAGAAAGAAAAGGGATGATTTTTAAAATTAATTTAGAATCAGAAACAACTAAAGAAACATCGTCTAAAAACACAGCTAATCAACGTTCATCTACATGTTTACTCCAATAATTAAAAAAAAATGTAGATTTTCATCTAAATTTAAATTGTTCTCTTTAAGTTTAATAATTTAAACAAAAGGAAAATTTTGTCATTTTATAGTTAAAAACTAGAAAAAGCCAATTTAGACTAAAAATTACGTTTATTACTAAAAAAATAATGAGATGAATTGGGCAATAAATAAAAAATTGTCCTTTAATAAAAAAATTGTAATTTTTAAAAATAAATAAAAAGATTTTATCAACTTGTGGAAAAAATATTCCTTTAAAATTTAAAACAAAATTTTGTTATATAAATAAATCAACAAGACAAAAACTATGGACGATTTTCTAAATAATTCACAAAGTTGAATGGAGAAATTAAAAATTATTTGATTTTAAAATATTTGGGTCTAGAAATTTTTGTTTGAATAAATTATTGAATTTAAATTAGTCTCTAATTTATGCCCTCAACTTGTTTGTCAGTTATTTCAAAAATGAATGTCTTGTTAAAAAATGTTCGGCTCTAATTAAATAAGAGACATTAAAAGTGAATTAAAGAAAATGCAAAAATAAGAGATAAATGTAAAATTAAAAAAATGGCGAGAATTTGAAGAAAATCTTTCGAGGATTAAAAACAGAGTAAAATGCAAAATGAATAATTAAAAATGATTAGAGGGTTGTCAGAATAGAGATACTTTTAAATGGGATTTTTTACAAATATATTTGTTCCAAAATAATAATTGTGTCAAAAAATATCCAAAATTTGAATCTGTCAACCCCTTAACAATCATTATATTTGACTGCATAATGCTTTAAGTCAAACTTTGTAAAGTTTCCAATAACAAAGAGAATTATATTTTTTTGTTTCTCACAGATATTAAACCCGTACTTTTTTGTGCAAATTTTTGAAAAAGAAAAACGCAAATTTTTCTTTACCGGAATTGAATGAAAAAGGCATTTTTCTGGTATCTAAAGCCTTCCAATTTTTGAGAGCAGTTGATTAGTTCGCTGACGTAGTTCATCATCTGATTCGTCATCTTTAAAAGTTTGAAAGTTAATAATATATAGATTTAACAATAATTTAGGAATTACAAAAACAACTCCAAAGATCAAGAATGACACAGATAAATAACAGAAACTGAAAACCCCAAGAGCCTATTTAATCGAATCAGGCAAGAGTTTGAGAGCAGTTTAAATGGCTAAAGTAAACTGAAAAAGTGCCATAATTTATTTCAGATAAAACGCATTCTTAAATAAGAAACCCAAATTCTTTAAATATCCAAATAAACAAACCAGAACAACACGGAGAAAATTCAATTTTCTGTTTATTCACTTTAGTCTTCTCTTCATTATTATTTGCGAAAATGAGATTACGATTTTGAGGTAATGATGAAACAGGAACACAAATATTATCGTTTTGTGAAAGATTTTTTTGTTGTGGCAATTCCAAAACTTGTTTGACACAAGTTTGTTGCCCTTTAAATTCCTCTTCCATTTTTTTATTTTCTTCATTTAATTTCTCCACAAATGTATTATTATTAGTTATATTAGTCTTCATTGTCACATCAACACCTTCTCTTTCTCCTCCAAATTTTATTCGAATTTTTGGTACTTTTTTGGCAGGATATTGTTCTTCTTCTTTTGTTTGTTCAATAATTTTATAATCTTCCTTTTTATTTTCTTCACTTTTTCGTTTTTTGTTTTTATCCTTTTTATGTTTTTTCTTTTTTATTTCTTTTTGTTCTTCCTGTTGATTATTCTTCTCCTCCTTTTCTTCTTCTACAATGTCATGTTGTAATTCAATTTGTTCTGAAACAACAGGTGTATTTACCAAAATATGTTTAGATATTCTCAATTTCAATAAACCACCACCACCAACATTTCCATTACAATCATTATTAACTGGAATATTAATTTCTTCATTTAGAGAGGATTTTTGAAGTGATGTTGTTAAACAATTATTATTTTGTTGTTGAATGACAGGTCTTTTCAAAGAAATTTTTAATGGAGACTTTTCTTGAGTTTTTAACAATTCTTCTCGAGATGTACTTTGTGGAGTATCTTTTGAAGCATCTTTTCTGTCAATATCCATTTGTTCACCTACAATCATTTCCCTATTAATTTCATCAGATAGTCGGGCTGCCCTCCTCTCCGCTTTTCTTAACCGTTTTTGTTCTCGACGTAATTTTTTCTCATCCGACTTTTGTTTATCGGCTTCAAAATTTTCATTTCTTGGAGGCAATTTGATCTTTAACTTTACTGGCTTAATTGTTTCGTTAATTGTTGTCAAACAAGTAGATGATTCTTCTTTCTCTTCTTCCATGGAATTCTATAAAACAAGAATTTTAAATTCCTAAAGACTTGAAAATTCAATAAGGGATTCGATTGCCAACACTATATAATAAGACACAAAAAAATTTAATGACACGTAAATCCATAGCTCTATAGGACTCAAAAAATCAATCAACTTGTCTTTCTTTTTTTCACATTTTAATTTTTTCTTAATCATATGACAGTCTATAACCTTTGACGGAATAAGTATTGGCAACGATATGTAATAAAGGTTAAGGATGAATAATTAAAATTATTACCGTTCGAACAGATCGAAACGATGAAACTTCTGCTGGTTTCTCTTCGTTGTTACCATTTAACAAAATTGGTGTTGTTGTTTTTCCAATTTCTTCATCCAACTAAAAATAAAAAATAAAATAATCTTAAAGTATTTAAAATATAAAAAACACAAATGTAAAAAAACATTCTCTAAAACTCACCAAAAAACGTTCCAATTTTAAATTGACTTTTGCTAACGCCGGCTTTTCCTCTTCAATATTTTTAACTTGAAGGAAAGTAGCAACATTTTCATTGCGTTCCACCAATGGATATGTTTTTAATTGAATGGTGATTGATGCAAATCTTGGTGTTGCAAGAGATGAAGAACATGCAGCAAAACTTTTGGACGAATCACTAAAAAATATTTCTGATATAATTACTTCAAATAAAAACTGCACCTGCTAATATTAACTTCTGTTTCAGTTTCTTCTTCCTTTAATTCCTCAATTTTTGGAGACAAAACATGTTGATAACGTTCATCATCCCATTCATTATATTCCCAATCCATAATTGACGATAATTTTATTGGTGACTTTCTAGCATTTTCTTCATTTTTGCAAATATTTTTCCATTGAGAAATTTCGTTAGATAGTTTTCGATGCTCAAATTCAGCATCCAAATAAAGCAACAAATTGTATTGTTCTTGTGTGGAATCTATTGCTTCCCTAAATAAAGCAGAACACATCCGTTGTTCAATAGAATGTTGTCGTACTTGCATGAGTTCTTTGTGTAGCTGTAACTCAGCATCATCTAAATTATTTAAAATTAAAAGAAATTCCCATCTTTCCCTGTCAAAAATACTTACATCCATCAATAAATTTTTGACTAAATTCTGGTTCTGAAAAGAGCCCATATGGAAGCAGCCTTTCAATCGAATCATTTTTACTTTTGAAGGAAGAACTCAAATCTGGATTAAGAAGTTTTTCACGCATCTTGGCAAAATGTTCTGTCAACCTAAAAATATTTTTAATTAAAAAATTAAAAAAACTCCTAAACCGTTCCCGACGCTTTTCTTTTTGTTTTTCCAATTTTTCCGCAATTAATTTTTCATTTTCTTGGGCTATTACACGCATATTCCGTTTTGCATAGATCTTATTGTCAGAAGAAGAGTTAGTTGTAGGGACTAACACAGAAATGATTTTTTCTTCTTTTGATGATTCTGATAAGAAAATATAACGATTTTTAAAGCCTCAAAAACGAACCAATTTGCAATGAATTTGTCTGTCTAACATTATTTGCAAGAATTGTTGAAGAAGTGTATGTACTTGGATAAGATTGTGTTGTAGGATTAAATGCGACAAACTGAACAGGTGTCGATGTTGACAAGGAGTCTGTCGATTGTTTAACAAAAGTTTGAGGATTAGTTTGAGCTTTTGATTGTTGAAAGGAATTTGGAGTTATTATTGTTGAAGTTTGGACATTTGAAGGAGTCTGAGATTTTTTAGTAACGTTAGGCTTCTTTCTTGGAGCACGGCTTTTTGCAGGCTTATTGTTAGAAGGAAACTGAGAAACTGATGATGTGGACGGAACTGCCTCAAATTGGCCAGAAAGTGAGGATGCATATTGTTGTTCTTGTTGGGCCGCTTTGATAGCAGACCTAAAAAATAAAATTGACAAAATTAAAGTAATATTTTCTTCATACGTGGTGGTGTTTCTCACAATACAATCAGCAATCCGATCCATAACAATTTGTAATTCAGAAGTTACGTCTGTTCCACTTTTCTTTTGCTAAATATAACTTTTAATTAAGTAAAAACTAAAGAGTTAAAATTAATTTATTATAATACTAGGGTAGCTCCCCAAGCCTTCGGGGTCGGAAGTGTCGGGGATCGGGGTTTGCCGGGGAGAGCATGTCGGGTTTCGGGGTCAGGGTTGACTTATGGTTCGGGGTCAGGTGTCGGGGTTTCACTATTTTAAATCAGTCAGAATAAACAATTCATTTATGAACGTAAAAATAATAGAAACCTCTTCTAATTGTTGACAACGGCCCATAAGGGAAGCAAATTCCATTGCTAATTGTGGATCTGCAAACTCCAGTGTTGCAGTCTTCTGATTGCTAAAAAGACTTTTAGCTACTTGATCTAAACCGCTTGAGGTTTCAGTTTGTTGTTCATAACCGTTATTAAGTTTATTTGTCGATTGATTTGAAACCGAGGGCCTTCTCCTCGTTTTAGTGGATTTTTTAGCGACAGTTTTCACAGACACACTCTCAACAGTATTACATTGTTGATTTAGCTGGTTTGAAGAGAAAACTGCATTTGAAGTATTTAAAGGTTGGTGGCCAATTATTTGCTCAGGTGGAGGTTGATAGTTAGGAGGTAATTGAAAAGAAGAGGGTTGTTGTTGATGGTCAATTAAAGAGATTAAAGGTGAATTGAATTGATGATTTTGTTGAAGTGGCTGTTGGGATGGATAAAAGTGTTGTTGTGAATGTTGGCTTTGTTGATTAATTGGCTGGAAATTGAGAAATGGTAATGTTCGTTTTTTTAATTATATATTTTGGGAATAGAGATTGAGAATAGTCTTTGGGAATAATTTTGGAATACTTATTGTTTATATTAGGGAATACGGATGTCAAAAAATTAAAAGTGGCACCAAAACAATGACGCAAAGGGTTCACAAAAATTAAAAATAAATAATACATTAGATATAGAGACAGAGGTGCCAGCCGCATTCACAGATGCTGATTCTAAATGAACTAATTGCGCTGACTGTTGATGATGAATCTCTTGAGAAGGAATATTTCCGTAGAAATTGCTCTGACCTTAAGTAAAAAATAAATGTTAAGCTGGTCAGTTAATTTTTATTGACTTTGGATTGGCGTAAGGTGATCTATTTATATGGGTCTGTAATCAAATAAAACCCAGGAAAGTTAAAAAATATTTATTAGACGACATCAAAGAAAACAAGTACAACTTTCCCTTAATTCGTCTAGAATTTAACAAAAACTCAAACCATTAAAAGATTGTGGTAGATGTTGAGTACGTTGCTGTTGTTCATTTGGAAATATCCTTTGCTCAAAATAATATTGCTGTTGAGGTGGATGTTGCAGTTGCTGAATTTGTGATTGGCAAACCTGCAATTGTTCTTGGGTGTAAGGTTTTAATGTGGCAAGTGAAGTGCTAGGCATGCAGTCAATATAAGTAGACTTTCCATCATTAGATTCTTGACGTATCTAAGGAAAATTAAGAATTTGAAAAATATTTAGGGGCAAGCACAATAAGTTTCAGCTTATGATGATAGAACCTAGTTATATAAAAGGCCATGAGCCGGAATAAACCCATCTAAAACAATGAAATTACTTATCAGAAAAATTACAGGAAAAGGTGTTAAATAAAAACTAATAAAAATAAAAACCTGAGGAACTGTCATCACGGAAGCCTGCGCTCTCGCAGTTCCATAATCCCTTCCAAAATTAGTTAGAAGAGGGAGAGGTTGTTGATTAGCTTGGAAACCAATAGAATTTCCATTAGTTTCATTATAGATCACAGAAGAAGAGTTAGTCGATTGAATAATTTGTGTACCAATATTGCTGATATTTTGCTCCCCTCTTTCCAAATAATGAGATGTCGAAGCTGTAATAGATTGTTCTCCATTTGAAGAATAAAAAACATTTTCATCAACGGGAACATTGAGATCCAAATAATCAACATTTGTATTTTGTTGTTGTAGAGATTGATGGGGCACATTATGAAATTGGTGCTGATCATCAAGTATAGCAGGATGTTTCTGAATAACACCACTTGTGATCTCCTCAGATTCCGCAAACCAATCCCTTAAAAAAATTATTTTTTTAAATTTTAATAATTTTCCAAAAAAAAATTTCAATTTTATATTTTTTTGATTTTAAAGGGGTCAAAAATCACCCACTTTAAATATCAATTCATGAAAATACCCTTTTAGTATTTTCAAGATTTTTCTTATTGTCAGCCTCAATATAGAGAGCTTATTTTCACAACTTTATAATCCACACAAACAAAACCCAAAAAACTGGCCACGCCTATTCAGAATTGTGTGTGAATGTGAAAAACCACGCCCCAAATTCTCTTCCTCTCAAGCAGACAGCCTTTGCTTCTGAAGAAAGAAAACCACGCCCCTAACGGTCCGAAGAATTGAGAGGCGGTATTTGTACATCATGTGGATTGTGTAAATCATTTTTAAATTTTGTTATCACAAAAATTCCAAAAAGCATTTAAAAGGAAAAGTGAAAAAGTTGTCGAAACTTACTGATCTGCAAAGTCGTCAATCATCACACGGTTGTTGTCAATATTGTTGTTATTGTATGATAAAAGCATTTTAATAAAATAACACGCATTTTCTAAATTAGCAAAGCATTACTGCTTTTTAAGTTGCTAATTAAATATAGCCTATAAATTTTTAGAAAAAGAAAATTGTAAAGAAATTTATGAATTAGAAAATACAAAAGAAAATATATTTGTATTGATTTAAAAATAATTTACTCCAAAAAAAAATTTTTGTTGCTAGGTAATCTTTTTTTAATCTTTGCTTTAAATTTTGAGTTAATTGAGATGGAAAATTGAACGATTAATCTATTTAATTGTTAAAAAGCATGTCACATATCGCCTCCATCATCCAATTTAACCATCCGTTTGGTCTTCAACACTTAAAAGCCCTACTTCCAAGTCGTGTAATAATAAAAGGGTAGGTGCTCTGTTGTTCTTTTTTTGTAGTGGGGGCAGCTGCTGACTGATACGAAAGCAAAAAAACAGCATGGATAGAAAAGACATGAGAAGTCTAGTGTCACCCAATATATGCGTATTTATTGTTGGCGTGAGGCTATGAAAAAAGAGAAATATATGGGAGAAAAGAAGAAAAGTATGAGTAGAACGCATATGTCAATGTGTTTGGCGTTAGGCCAGCAAAGAAATCAATTCGTTTAAAAATAAAAAATTAAAAAATAAATTAGTAGGTAATGGAATGTTTCTGATCAAATCATGACATCTTTAAAACTTGAAAACATCTAAAAATAAAAAAAAAGATCAAAAGTCTTTATTTTGTTTTAATATGTAGAGGCATTATTTGCCTTTTCTCTCTTTAAAAAATTTTGATCAGTAAATAAAATCCACTAGGATTAACGCAACTTTAATCGAAGGAACATTAATTAAACTGTTGTCATCGCTTATTTATTAACAAAGCAGAAAAAATGTCGGCAAACGAGCATTTGGGACTCTTATTCATCTAAATACACAACGCCAACAATAATCTTTCTGTACTAATTTTTTAAATTTATAATTATTTGTGCACATAACTACAGTCAGTGAAATGTGTTTAGAACCAGTTGCAAGGCGATTTAAAAGTGTGGATAATTTGACGAAAATAGTCTGAAGGCCCATAAAATTTGCTACAAAATAGTAAAGACTTGATTTTTCTAAAAAAGGGCCTAAAAGAAATTTTTAAAACAAGCTTTAGCGGGTTAAATTATTTTTTGAAGTAATGTAATCCCATTGCCGTTGTTATTCGAGACGAGATCTCGTTGAAGAAAGAACTTAGACTTTGTTCTTTTTACTTTTCTACCCAGTATTGATGGAAATATCTACAGAAATTTTTTTAGAATTTTTGCTCCAGTTAAAGAAAAAACAGAGTGGCTCTGAACTTATTTTCCCGAAAAATGGGGTTACCTTCGATAAAACCGTTATAATTTTTGAATGAAATATTAATCTCAGAAAGAGATGTTATGTATTATAAATAGCCCTTTAAAAATGCTTTAGAAAAAGTAAATCTTTTTTGTCCCCTAATATCGGTCCGATTCCTCTATTCGGTTCGTCAGAAAGCGGAGGATTACTTGCTTCTTGACCTCCCGAAATTTGGGTGCACAATTATTTTTTAGTAGGAACGAAATTTTGAGGCAATATCCCTCACCAAATATTTTCGGTCCAGTTCCGGATATCCGAATATTTTCAAAGAACTGATAAACCTATTCATTATGAAGTTAATAATTGACAAAGTTTTAAGAATGGAAGAATTTTTCTTTATTTATATAGAAAAATGAATAGAAAAGGACATTAATTTGTATCGAATTTACTGTCAGAAAAAAACATGGTGGTGTGGTCGTTCAAATAGTAAAAATTCTCCCGGAAGTCGTTTTTGTCCTTCATTCATCCTTCAACAATCACTTCTTAATATTCCTTCAATACATCTTCCGGCCGATTCGATCACATGGCGTATTTCTGCGTCCATTCACGAGCCAGCGTATTGTATCTCTCTCGATCAGTCTTATATATGCGCGCAATCTCGGGCACCAACGGATCGTCCGGATTTGGATCACAGAGCAATGAGCAAATTGACAGCAAAACTGAAAAATTAAATAAAGAGCAAAACATCTCTTTTATAAAAATTTAACGGTAGATTTTTAACAGAATTATGGACAATTTTTAAAAAATAAAAATTTTTTAAAACTCTATTTTAATGAATGTAATCAATGACTTTAGGATTTTTGTTATCAACTATAGAATCCTAAACCCCTTTTTTGTATGAAAAAATAAGAAACCCACGCAAATATGGCAACCCAAAAAATAAAAATTAGAACCTTTTGAGATAGTCAAAGCTGGAGACCATTGAGATCTCAGAATGTCCAAGCAGATGCTTCCATTGCTGTTGATATTTGGATGATATATACGAGTCGTAAACGCCACTTTTGGCGGCTTGAACGGATAGTCTGTTGGAAAGTGGATTGTCAAGAAGAACACTCCGCCCTGATATGGCGATTCTGGCGGTCCCATAATAGTGGCCTGCCAATGGAAAAGGTCATCACCAACTGGCCCTGCACTGCATTGCGCTGGTGGATCACGTCCAAGGTCCTGAAGTTCCTAAAAAACGAGAAATTTGTAAAATATTATAAAGGTAATCCTCTGGAAAAGAGAGCGACATTTAAAGTTTTTAGCAAAAAATGACAGCAAACATTTCCGGAGGTTTATCAAACTAACTTTCTGGATTCGCTTTAGAGCCATTTTACTGAACAATTTAATTTGTTATAAAATAAACGATTATAATAAGACTTCCGGTCAATATCTATAAAAATAAATTCTGAATTAAACATTGTCACGTTCATTTTTCCACAAACAAAAAATAAACAAAAGTTTTTAGTACTGATAAATTTAATGAAGTTCCGGTGCAACGTGATTCTTTTCTTTTTTTTTGTCTGTCCGTCTCGAGCTTTCACGACAATAATATTTTTTTGTAGCAGACGTGAGAATTAAACGAAAGACATGAGAAAAAGAAGAGACAGAAGAGAAAATAGTATGAAAATAGTGAATAAAATTAAAATATCGATTCTGGCGAAAATTTGCGGAAATTTAAACTGTTAAAAAATAATTTGAGGTGTTGTGCCCATTTAATCGTGACGTTGTTAATCGAGATGGCTTATCTTTTTTTTGTTCGATTCAATCTTTTCGAAATTCAAAGGTTTGAAAGACGAAGTCGAGCATGTACATAATTATTATTTTTTGATAGCCTAGCATTCTGGGTTTGATTAATTGGATTCGCGATTAACTGGGGGTTTTTTCGAATATTTAATTTTCAGTGAAATTTCGAACTTTTCTCGGCCCAACTTTTTTAAATTAATTATAAAATTAAAATATAGACCAAAATTAAATCTTTTAAATGGAACAATCGCCAACAAAAACGCGTTGTTCATTCATTCCGTTCACCACTTTTATTGATCCACTGTTTTGGAATGAAGTGAATAGACTTAAAATTAATGAATGGAAATTGGATGAATCGCCTAAAACTGTTCATTGCAATTTAACATTTCGTAAATATTTTTAATTAAAAAAATTTTTTTAAATTTATTTTTAGATGGATCTCAACCTTCAGACAGTTTATTATGTTTTGATCACGAATCTTTAAAAAATATTTCTGAAGATAATGTTAAAATTAATTCTGGAATTTATAATGTTGAGGGAACTTTTCTTCTTTTAAACACGAAAAAAGCTTTTTTGGAGCTGGACAGAACTATTTTGTTGAAGAATATTGCTGAAACTGTAAGGGTTTTCTTTTAAATAAATAAATTTATATTTTATTTAATTTTAAGTTGTGGACTTTAATTACAACAAATGAATGGTTAAAAAACCCAAATGCCCTAAATACTTTTTATTTGACTGCATTTGCAGTAAGTTTCCATTTTCTAAATTTTTTTCATTAATTTTAGGATGTCAAAAATTTTGCATATTATTTTTGGAATTGTATTCCTGCCTTACTCTTTCCTGAAAATATTCATCAAACATCCCAATTTGAATCACCAAATATTGAATTACATTCATTAGCTTTTGAATTTCTCGTTTCTAATAACGGGAAACCTTTTATTTTAACCAACAATCAAAAGGCATTAAAATTGGAAGAATTGATTGAACAAACATCCCCCGATGATTTTTTACTTGTTTTTCCAAATCCTTCAGAAGTTCAAGAAAAATTTGGATGGCCATTGAGGAATTTACTTGCAGCTATAGCTTATTTAAAGTATAAATTAATCTTATAATTGTGATTTATTCTAACTAATTTTATTTTTTGCAGACCAACATGGTCCAAATTACGAGTATTTTCACTAACCAGACTTTATCAAAACAGTTTTATTTCAACGCTTTTTTGGGACATTATCAAAAATGAAATTGAAACTATACCAAAATGTGTTGGTTGGGAAAGGACATCTAATGACAAACTTACTTATCGGAGTGTTGATTTAAAATTTATGTTAGATCCAATTAAGTGAGTTGTCTTAAAATTTTAAAATTTATTTTTTATTGTGTACTTGAATTTTTCTTAAATTTAATCGTATTTTCTCTAGCGTTTTTTAGTTAATTTTGTTTTTTTCGATAGTTATTTTTCATTGGGTTTCCATCAAATAGCGTTTTTCCAATTTAAGACAAATTGTCTTTGATACTTTCCCTTGATCTTAAGAATTAAAATTTGAACACAATTTCAAAATTTTGAATAAAATCTTTAGAAAATCTTTTAAAAATTATTTTTCAGTATAATGGAACAAAGTGTTGATCTCAACCTTAAATTAATTCGTTGGCGTCAAGCACCTTCAATTTCTCTAGATAAATTTACTTCTCTTCGTATTTTACTTGTTGGAGCTGGAACTCTTGGTTGTAATATTGCTCGTGCTCTTTTAGGTTGGGGAGTGAGGAATTTCACTTTTATTGATTATGCAACCGTTAGGTAGATTTATTTGAATTTTATTTTCAATTAAAATAAAAGGAATTTTATAAAATTAAAAATATTTTTTTTAATTTTTAAGTTATAACAATCCAGTTCGCCAATCTCTTTTTTGCTTTGAAGATTGTCTTGTAGCTGGCCTTTCAAAGGCTGAAGCTGCTGCAAATGCTTTGCGACGTATTTATCCAAAAGTTGAGGCAAAGGGGATTCATATGAAAGTACCAATGCCTGGATATCCTTTCTCCGAGGAAGGTAAAAAATTATTGAAATTTTTTTTTGTTTCTTAAGGCTTTTAAGTAGTTCCTATTTTTTAATTATTAAATATTTCCCTGTGGTTTTCGATTTTTTCTATTATATTTGAAACTAAGAAATTTACCTTTGATTTTACCTCTGCTAAATTCCATTCCTTGTAAATATCACTTATAAATTTAAATTTATAGAGGAAGACGATGTTAGACAAAGTTGTGATCAATTAGAAGACTGTATTAAAAATTGTGATGTTCTATTTTTGGTTATGGATAGCCGTGAATCTCGTTGGTTACCAACACTTCTTGCTTCCGTTCATAATAAACTAGCAATCACTGTAGCTTTAGGATTTGATGATTTTGTAATATTAAGACATGGAACTAATCCAGAAAGTGAACAACAAAAATGTAAATTAGAACCAGAAATGAGTGAAATGGCACAAGATTTACATGCAGAATTGCCTGGCTCTTTACTTGGGTGTTATTTTTGTAATGATGTGACTGCACCTGGAAATTCTACAAGTGAACGGGCACTTGATCAACATGTATGGATCTTTCTAAATATTTTTAAATTGAATTACGGAGATTTTTATTGACTCTAATAACCAAAAATATTTTGTGTTTTGTGGAGAAATTTATTTAAATACATCTGACAATGAGTCCCCCATCTAAAAATATACACAAAAGGCAAATATTTTTGGTTTACATTTTTATACATTTTCCTATTTTATTCTAATTTATCTATTCTATTTTAGTGCACAATTTCTCGGGCAGGAATTTCAATGATTGCTTCCGGCTTTGCTGTTGAATTATTAGCCTCTGTTCTTCAACACAAATTAGAAGCAGATGCCCCAGCCCGAATGAGTGAAATGGATGCAAGTGCATCTTTGCTTGGAGCAACACCTCACGAAGTTAGGGGATTTGTTTCTACATTTCAACAAATTATGCCTACAATAAGACGTTTTGATCGTTGTACTGCTTGTGGAAATTCAGTGAGAAAAATTTTGAGAAAAATTTTTTTAATTTTATATTTTTAAAGGTTCGTAAACTTTATTCTCAAGAAGGCTTTAAATTTCTTTCAAAAATATTTAATGATCCAACAGAATTAGAAAGGGTTAGTGGACTTACAGAATTACAACAACAAGCAAATGCTTTCCAAACTCAAATGATTGAATTGGATGATAATGAGAGTATTTCGAGTATTTAATTTTAATTAATTGACAAATAATAATTGCCTTTATCAGAACAATAAATTACTTATTTTTTATTAATTGTAAGTTAAGCTGACAAGAATAATTATGCAATCATCTGTATATATTTTTAAATTTATAAATTTTTTAAAATTTGTTGGATATACATATAGGCCTGAGTTTTTATAGGGGAAGTAGAGGTTTAATTTATTCTAGGAATAATTAATTTTCCACAAAACTACTTAAAAATTAAATATTTTGTCAAATACTTGATTAATAAAACTCCAATTATTTCTTTGAAAGTAAAAAGAAAAAAAAGAAATTAAAAAATAATAATTATTATTTTTAAAAAGCTCATTACTATATTACAATCATTATGACTAGTTTTTATATTTTTTTTATTTCCCCATAATTTCAATTCCTTCCTCTACCAACTTTTCTTCTAAACATTTGATTAAGTACACTTTCTCGAATTTCCCTTCCAAGTGTATTGCAATTTAATTTTTTAAATCGCCTTATTGCTTGTTTGAAGCTCTTAAAAATATTTTTTCAATTTCTTTTAAAAATTTCTCAATCACCTTTTCTTGTCTCCAAGGGACAATTAATTTAGCATTTAATAATTCTCCATTTCTTCTTTTTTCGCTAGCCATAACCAAAAAAGTTAATTGTCTCTCTTTTGCTTCACCTTGTAAAGAACTTGTATTTACTTCTGCAAAAGGACAATAACAACGAGTTTCTCCATGTTCTGATAATTTAATTAAAATATGTTTATCTTCAATTGGATCTCTTGTAGATTTTTCACCAATAGAACCAGAAGCGGAAGAAGTTGAGGATTTAAATATTCGCATTCTTTTAATAATAGCCATATATGTTGAATTTATTGGGCGAATTCTGACTTTGAGGACTATCAAGAAAATTGAGTTTAATTACATTACAGTTTAACAAACCAATAGATGAACGACAAAAATTATCCATTAAATTTTCAAATGTGGCTACTTGAGCACAACTTTTGCAGATTTGTCCTGAAAAATATAGTTAAATCACATTATATGTATACACCAATTAATGTATGCGTTTCAGTTTAGTATACTGATTTTTTAAATGTTGTCACTGATTGAGTAGAAATGCCTAACAATAAGCAACTCGTTTTAGTTTACAGTTGACAATATAACGAGAGGGTTTGTACATTACACGAAATTCGACTAATTTGTTAGTACCTTTAACATTAGCAAGTAATGGCGGTGGATATTTTCTTTTTCTTTCTTCTTCTTCATCTGTTGTAGGTGTAATAGAGGAGGGAGGTTTAATACATAAATCATTATCAGAAGGAAATTGACTACAATTAAGCATTTCTGGCCAGGGAAAGCCGTATTTCTCCATTCTTGTTGCACAACCCTTTTTTTAAATTATTTTAATAATTTAATAATTAAAAAGAATCTTTTTACTTCCCTAACAGCATTACAGAGTGATTCACAAGGATGAATAGGTTTTTCAATTTGAGGAAGACAAATAGGTGCAAAAAGTGAACAAAGAAATAACTTTAAATTTAAAATTAAATTTTTAAAAGTTATCATTTACAGTCTACTGTTATCCCTTTTAAAAAGGATAATCTCAAAATATACCGTAAATACTCTAATAGAAGCCCTGGGATTATACTTTTCAATGGATCTCCTCAGATGGGCTTGTATTAGAGGTAGGATTCTACCAGAGGTGGGCTTCTATTAGAGTATTTACGGTATTTATTTGTATTTCTCATATTTAAACACTATTTGGATCCTTCGTTTATTTTTTTTGAACATCCCTCTGGTAATAAATAAAAACAATAAAGTTTCTACTTAAAAGTTTGTCACTAAAAAATAACCAGGGTTCCATTACTACACATTAATTAATACTTTAGTATGTGGGTGACAATGTAATCGAAGCAATGAAATCCATGCTGAACTTTGTTGAATTGCTTCTTCCATAGTTTCGTGTTCAAGTAAATTTGGCAATCTCATTGTTTTATACTTTTTATTTTAAAAAATTTTTTCAAAAAAATATTTTTATTTTTCTTTTACTTGCATTCCATGACATAAAGTAAATCTTTCTGAAATATTTAAACATTTTGATGTTTCTTGGGGCCTTTGTTGTTCTTGTATCCAATTATTACTAGAATGGGGAGATGACGCTAGAATTGACCATTGACCGCCTGATAGAGAATAAACAGATTGACCAAGAAAAAATAAAAAGGGAATAATTATAGTAAACATTCTCTAATTTTTAAAAAAATTAAGTTTAAATTTGAAAAAAAAGTTAAAATTATTTATGTTTTTTCACGAAAAACCTAAAAAAAGAATGATCAAAAAAAAAGAAACATTAAAAAAATAAAGGCTTTTAATTGTTGCTCAAAAAAATTAAAAATCTGAAGAGAGATTAAATTAATTATTCGAGTTACTTTCATTTAAAAATTTATTTTTTTAAATATTTTGTAAATGAAATTTATTTATCATTTTCCTTTTATTAAATTTTTATTTAAAAATAATCAAAAGCTTCTTCTCTTATTTTCATTATTCATGAAAATATTAAAAATATGTACCTCCTTTAAAAGGCTATTTAAAGAATTTAAAATTTATTTTCTATTTATAGATAGGTAAATTTTTTAAATAAATTAAATATTTTTGTAAATATTTTATTGCTAAATTTGCAAAAAAAAAAGAAATTTGAGAGAAATTTAAAAATATAATTCTGGATTTATATAAAAGTTGAGAGAATATACTTTATTTTTTTAGTTTAAAGATGACCGAAGATTTGTGTGATTTAAGTAAAATATATTTTTCTATACCTTCTCGAATATCTTTAAAAGATTAAAAGTAAAAATAATTTTTGAGCTTTTTACATTTAAATATTTAAAAAAAAATTAAAAATGAATAAAAATTAATTACAAACTGTATGAGATTTTTAAAGATTAAAAAATGAATAAAAATTCAAGTAAATAACCTTTGAGAAAATTAAAAAAAAATTTTTACATATCTTTCTTTGAATTAATATTTTAAAAAAATTCTTAATTAATTTAAATAAATAAATCAAAATTACTTATTTTTTTAAAAGGAAGCTTTAATGGAGAGAATCCTTTTAAATAATTATTAAAAATATTTCTTAAAAAAGAAAAAAAAACTCTTTTTGTTAACAACTGTCTCTCTCTACATTTTACGCGCTCCTCTTTCTTTCCTTCTTATTTTTAAAAAGATTTTCTTAAGAGTTTTTAAATAATAATGAAAAAGAAAATTGGCCGAGAAAATAATTCTTTTGATGATGCCGCCCTTTATCCGTCAAAATATATATTTATTTTATTTATTTTCTTTGTGTGTGTGTTTGCCTTAAAAACTTTTTTTGTGTGTTTATTTGGCATTTAAAAAGGGGAAACCGAAGATGGATAATGATTGAATTTGTATATAGAAAGAATTTTAGGAGTTTATTTTCTCGGATTTCAAGTTTTTAAAGAAATAAAAATTAAATCTTTTAAGACAATTTCAGCACTGAAAGGTTGAAATGAAGATTTAAAACTAGGATTTATGAAAAAAATTTATAATGCTCAAGGCAAAGTTTTAGTGTCCCTAACTCGGAATTTTTGATTGAGCTTCTATTACTGCAACTAGAGCATACTTAACAACTCTTAGTAGACTTCAAACATGTGTGTTAAGCAGTATTGCTTGGGTCATTAAAGGCAGCTAAACAGGGAATTCAAATAAATTGAGTTTGAAACTACAAATCCAATAAGAGAAATTTATCTAACAAACAAAATAATATTTTTATTTATTACATACAAAAAAGACAATTATCGCGATTACTGAGAACAATACAAAGGCGAACAAATATCACTATACAATATAATCAACAACAAAATAAAAGTGGCATTTATCATCTTTCCTTTTATTCAGCTGGACCAGTCAAACGCCGGGTGAAGGCTGCAGCGTCTCCTCTTTGCCACTCGCCGGACCATCTCTCGCAGCCAATCGTAGTCGAGTTTGTCGACGTAATGCCGTTTTGTTAAGTACGACATGATGTGTCGAAATTCGCTGAACTTGAAAAAGGGAAAAAGAAAATTAGTATTAAGCATGTCTTATAGCACCTCCTGCCCTGGGAAGAGTGTTGACGGATTTGCGAAAACACCTTCTTTCATTTCCCGCACGTTGTTTAGGTTCTCCTCCTCGTACCATGGCAGCTTTTTCTTATTGATCATGTCGGCGAGCATGTAAAGCCAACTCTCACAGTCATCCTTGCGGCCAGACTCCTCGCTTCTATGCATGGCCAGTGGAGCGAACCGAATTGTTCCTTTGAATCTGACCTGGAAAATCATAAAAAGATTATTCAAAAAAGGATTTAACAATCAAAGAATATTGCGAACTAGCCTTGGATCGGGGGATGGCAACCGTCCCATCAGCGCCCACTATCTTCCTGGCGATTCCAAAATCCACCACGTATACCACATTCTGAGAACCAGTTTTGGCCAGCCCCAAAACAAAGTTGGCAGGTTTGATGTCTCGATGAACAAATCCGAGCGCGTGCATGTCCTTGATTGCTTCCAGAGTTTCGAGGGCGCAGTACAGTCCTGTGTTCATACTAAACAGGGAAAGTTTATTAATGACAAACTCACCTATTCTACCTGAAGATTTTGTTTGACTGCCGATACTTGATGTCGGCAAGTGATTCGCCTAGAAGCGACATCACTATGAACATGAACGACCGCACCTCAACGCTCCTGTCGTACAAAATTGGGAAGTGCTTCTGCTGCTCCTTTGACACTCCTTTGGCTGCTTCCAGTACTCGGATCTCCATGACAAGCTTAAAATGGTTGCGTCTCGGATTTCGTCGCTCCTCCTTCATTGCGAACAGGCCCCCTTTCCTCCAGTCCGCCTTGACCTTATACACAGCTCCATATCCGCCGTACGAAATGCTCTCCACGACCGTGTACGAACGTCCACTTTGACTGAAATTAAGAAAAAATAGTGGGACAAATACTATATTAAGCTTATAAAGAAAAATTTACCAGTTAATCTGCTCGCCTGGATCTCTGCCCGCGAAGGAGTACTGCGACACAAGAGACGAGGCCATGTCGAGTTGAACGGTGGTGCAAAAGCGGCGTTGATGTAGTGAGTTGTCGGCAAACGGTGGTGCAAAAGCGGCGTTGATGCAGTGAGTTGTCGATGAACGGTGGTGCAAAAATGGCTTTGATTTGAAGTTAAATTCATTTTGCTTGGCTTTTATAATAAAATAGTCTCGAACAATTGGAAATTTTTTAAAAATAAGGCAAAATTTTAGGCAAATTGAAAATGAAAATTTTTACAGATTTTTCTTTGGAAGGTTTTTTGTGTGGATGAGGTTCTTGGAGTTTTTGTACGATGGCGTTTTGTTTGCAAAATTTTGAAGATGAAGTTTTACCTTTCACTAGCAGCAGAGTGTCGATCATTTTATTGTCAAATATCGCAGATTAAAAATATTTTAATTTATTTTTAATTTTGTAGTTATTTTTATTGGGTCTCGATGACTGAATTCTGTACTAAATTCAAAACACACTAAAAGAGAGATTTGTATGCAAAAAATAACGAGACATTATTTTATATTTATTTTTGGCTTTTCATTTTATATAATATTAAGGCAACCCCCTTAAAAGTTGACACTAATTTATTTGGAAATTAATGTTTCTAGACGAATAATATACAAAAATATTTTCTTAGTAATTTAATAAAAAGTCATAATTACTTAAAAAAATATTTTATATTTATTTTTAGTTTTATTTTCTTAAAAAAACTTTTGACCAAATAAGTAGAAGATTTTAGAGAATTTTGTGGAAATACATATCTGTATCTCAGTTATAATAAAAATTCTCTGAAATTTTAATATCAATTTTTTATTTTTTCTTAAATAGACAATAAATAATTTGATTAATTTTTTTCAATTTTATTTTTAATATTAATTATCCTTCCTCTCTCTAAAATTATTTAAAATACTAAATTTAAAAATCGAGACTTTTATAAATTAAGAACATAATTAATAATTAGTTGATCTGTTTTTAACTAAATTAAAAAAATATTTTTTTAGTCAAAATGTTTCAAATTTACATAAAAAAATAAACAAAAAAATTCTACTTTTTATTTCTATTTTCGATTGTCCTTCTTTTTACCAAAATTTTTTTAAATAAAAAAAAGAACACATTAAAATGGTCTAACGCTCTGTTTCATCTTTATATAAATTTCCGGTAATTCTTCTTAAATTTGTCATTTTATTTAAATTGGTCCTCTATTTTAAGTATTTTTCTAAATTTGGCACTCATTTTTTTGGAATTTTTTTATTATAAGGAAGTTATAAAAATAATTGGTCTTCTTTTTTTTAATTTAAATAATTTTAGACAGATTTTTGTGGATTCTTTTTTAGCAATTTTATTTTGTTATTTGTTAATAAAGTCAGTTTCTAGTATATACGCTTTAGCCAAAAACCGTACGTATATTATACTGAGGGGTTACTATGTTGGGTTAGGCATCTCCTCCCAGTAGCCAATAAAATTTAAAATTATATAGTGTCGGCGTACGTATACATATTTAATAATTTATGTTTTTAATGTGCTAATATGAGAGATAAAACACAAATCTAAACTGACAAACAAATCTAATCTTCAACTTAAAAGAATCAAACTTACTAAAAAATAATTATTAATCTTAAACTACTTTATACTACACCCATAATTTCCTTCCGTTTCTCTCATTTTACAGTACCCATCCATCTTTTATTGTTGTAAATTACCTAATAATTTAATTTAAAATATTCCCCATTTCTCATTAAAAATTCACAATTTAACTAACTCCTCAGCTTTCTAAATTTAGTATATTTTTTGTAATCAACTAATTTTCTGATTTGCTAAATTGCAATTTATTTATTTAAAATATTCTCTCGATTAAATCCCTTAAGGGAATTTTTGGTTTTTATTAAGAAAAAAAGGAATTGGCATTTCGTCAAAAAATATATACTATTTATTTTAGTATTGTGCAGCTGGGCCTTCTTTTAAAAGAAAATTAAGTAAAAAATAAGGAAAAGACAAAAAAATTTGTTTGAAGATTATTTTTATTTATTTACATCATTTTTTCTTTTTTAAATTAATTTCTTTGGTAATTTAAACACAAATTTTGAGACATTTAAAATAAATAAAAATATTTTTTATCACTCCTTTTCCTCAATTTCCATCTTTACGTTATTCGCAAATGAAAAGCTTTAGATT